AATTTTAGAGATGATAAAGTTCGAGTATAAATATATTATGTTACTAATATCTTAAATAACAGCTAAGTAGAGACGACATATTAAAGTAAACAATTTCTGTAAAACATTTTTCAAGTGTATTGATATTTTCATAAATTTTCTTCCTGTATCCTTGCAGTGGTTCTTATGCTTCTTTTATATTTTTAAATGAAGATCATCGATGTTAGTAAAGCAGTATATGTAATATTCAATTTCTCCTGAGAACTTGGAAAATATTTTCTTCTAAACTTTGTGTTTCATCCAAACAACTGGAAGTAATAACAATAAACGTGAAATAAATTGTTAAAAATTTAATTTTACATGACTTTTAATATTAGAATGAATTATTCATATTCTTATTCATTCCTATTGTTAAATGTAAACTTGTATATGTTGAATTAACGCAAAAAGAACATTGTATTTTTAAAAGACTCGTGTTAAGTATACTTCTCTTATAACTCGTTCTCGATAAAAGAAACTCACAACGTTGAAACGTGTGAAATTCAAATTCTTAAGATCGAATCATGAAATTTATTCTTGCAAAACTAAATTAATTTTTTCTTTATCTTCGTTTTTGTTTCCTGTATTTTCAGGGTGAAAATTAGCTAAATGAAAAAAATTAAATCATCTTAAATATCAGACAAATTCATATTCAATGTATATTCTACAGTGATTAAAATTTTTATTCTCTACGCTAAAATATATAAATTCTTATCTTCAACTACGAAGGAAATGTAATTAACCTACAATGCAGAAAATTTCGTAGTAAATTAGTATAAATTACTAGAAAGAAAGAAATGAAATAATCTTAAGGCGATTTATATTTAACATTGAATTGATAAAAGCTGCAAATGATAATGACGACGACGACAATGATGAAGAATAAGATATGAAATATAAAATCATTAACCAAAATACAGTTATTCCATAAATTATTGATAATCATTTTGCAAAAATAATTTTAATTACAATTCAATATCAATATTTAATTGTTGTTCTCTGTTTATGATTTTTTTTCTTACGGAAAAAAAATCAATACAATAAATTTCATAAAAATTGTGCTTATGCTTAAAAATTTCGAAGAAAATATTTCAAAAGAATTACTAGGAATTCTTTGGAAATAAACTTACAAAATTACATTCTCGTGAAGCAATACTTGCAATCAATTGTCAGAAACAAAACTTTTAAATGATGATAACTTGTTTATATATATATATATATATATATATAATATAAACAAGTGTATTTATATTATATATATAAGCCTTAGTCTTTTATAAATATGTATACTGTATATAATATTTAAGATTGAGACTTCCAGCATTGGATTTATTGTATAATATGAGGTATTAACAAATCGAAAGTAATTAATATTAAACGAGCAATTATTTATTGTGATATCGCCACATTAACGGGCTGCAATTTTTAATTTAAAATATATGCTCTCCACCTCAAATTAGTAGTATCTTGCCTCTATACATCAAACTTTTCCGTTAGCAATAGAATCCTTTCTGTTAGCAAAATGTCTAACTCCTTTCAGGGGACAATTTTTAAATTTTAGGGGAATTGAAATAACGTATGTTGCGGTTTGTACCGGAAGTTCTTATATAGTTAATCGGTTCCTTTTCCCCCTAATCTTTTCATATCTGGTCTCGGCTTTCATCTCTCCGTTCTTGAGATTAAGGAAAGACAGAGGGAATTTATAGGTCTACAGATTTTTTTCAAATTGCAGCCCAATAATATACTGTTATACAGTATTAAGTTTAATAGTACAGATTATATTAATTAAATCAATTTCAAAAGACCGCCCACCATTTATAGTATTTTAAGGAATGATAAAAATAAGGTTATAAAAGGAGAGCAGGCTGGAATATATAGAATTCCGTATAAAAATGAACAATTGGGTTTAGAGAAAGAATATATAGGGGTTAATTAAATCTATTAAGTTTTATATTTATAAGATNATTTTAATTGCTAACACCTGTATATGGATAAAAAAAAGTACAATTTTTGTAAGATCTAAAATAAATTTAAGTAAAAACAATAAATTAAATAAACCAAATTAAAAATGGGTTTAAAATACTTTTGTCAAAGATATTGATATTAAAAGACCTTAAAACCATTATAAAACACAAATTACACTGTATGAAAATCAAAAAAATTGACAATATTACAACACAATGTATTATAAACGGATGGATGGATGGAGGGAGGGAGGTTGGAAGGGATCTCCAATGGACTACCTATTATGAAGTAGTGGCTGCCAGATCTCATTAATAGTTATACCTTTGTTTAAATTCATTTTATTTTCTGTTACTTTAATAATTTCTTTTTTGAGAATTTTAACTTTCTCTAGTGAGATCTCACAACCTTCCTCATTACAATGTATGGCAACTTCTGAATTGTATACTTATTGTGCATAAATGTTCCCTTATTTCAATTTTTAGTGCTCTTCCAGTTTCACCTATGTATTGATATATTGGTTGGCAACTGCAGGAAATTCTATATATTATTTTGCTGCATCATATCAGTTTTTTTATTAATAATTTCTTTAGTTTTTAACAATTTTTTTTTATTATTAAATACTGGAGCAAGGATGATATTATATTGTATAATATGTATAATGCTTTTAATGGATGTGGGCTTGTGTTGTAGCTTCTCTTCAGGCCTAATTTTCTGTTCAGTCCAACCCTGTTCTTCCACTTGGATTGTACACTCCAGTTGTACTGTACATACCTATGTTTGTTTATTTTCTCTACTGTATAAAGTACTGAGCCTATGGAAAAAAGGAACATTGAGAGCAGGGCTTTGGAGCGACCATTCTTTTTAGTTGCTCCACTCCATCTCCGCTCCGGTATCAAAGTATTTGCTCCAGCTCCGCTCCATGCTCCGGTTAAAATATTCTTATAGGAATTACACTAATTTTGTCTTTGGTATATAAGTATGCATAAAAAAACTTGTTTATTTACAACTAATTTATTATTAAAAAAATTAACATACCACCTCATTGATTTTAATAAATAAACTGGGGAGTCAGGAAGGGGAAGGAATAGCTTGGTCAGGGGATAGTGGAGACTGGAGAGAGAGGTTCCCACCTTTCAAATGGGACATATGTGGAATGGATATAAAATTTGTCAGTGCTTGTGATCACCATTCTTTTTAGTTCAATTATTGTATTTTTAACATTTGTAAATATTACAACTTATGCCACTTCCATTCTCATCGTCTCAAATATTAAATAAATATATATATATAGGAGCAGTGGAGCACTACAAATTTCCGTGCTCCAGCTCCACTCCTGCTCCAAGTAAAAATCCATTGCTCCACCTTCTCCATGCTCCAGCTCCGCTCCAAAGCCCTGATTGAGAGGACTTTTAAAGAAATAGAAGAAATATGTGAAGAGTTTCACAACAATGTTTCTCAACTTGACAGGAAAATAATTTTTTGCAAAGCTTATTCAAAAAAGTCATGTGAATATCTTTTTATTTGCAAAAAATATAATTATTGACATTAGAAGAGGTTATTGTATGATTCTTGACATTTAATCACATGGGTATTTTAACAAAGTTCAGAATGTTAATGCATAGTCAGAAAAAATAACTTCATAAAGTTAATGAAAGTCTAAATTTTCATTTTTTTTTAAATCCGATATCATGCACGAAAGAGAGTCATTTGTGACAGAATGCAACTTCTGAAAAACAATGCTTGTGAGGCAAGAAAGGAACATGCCTAGACCAACTTTTAATGTTACTGTCCCACAATCTTCCCAAGATTCATTCCAACTGGATTTGGCATATACTGTACTTTAGTTGCAAACATACCAAGGAATAAGTTGAAGTTCCAGCATTCAGATAAATAAAACCTTTACTACCATTTCATAAACATAATGATTCCATCCATTGGTATTAAACTATTTAGTACTGTACCCTACTGCACAACTTTGAATGAATCCTACTGCAAACTGTTTGCATTCTATGTACTGTACAATACCTACATTTCAATATTCTATTATTTAATGTTAATACAGTGTGGCCAAAAAGTCACTTGCCAAATGGGAATAATCACTGTTTTTAACCTTTCAGGTACAATAACAACTGGAAGTAATCATGAATGAGTAGGGCTTGTTTTATTGTGTGGGGAACATGGGAAGCTACACAGGAATTCCATCACACCACCCAGAACTTCCAGAGCTCTGACATCACTCTGTAGACAATATCCTAGTAAAATTTAAGAACACTTTCAGTGTTGTGGATGAAAACAAGTTCAAAAAAATAAGTTTAGGGGTCAGCATGATTATTTTCAGTTGTTATTGCATCTGAAACAATAAGAATGGTGATTACCCCCATTTAGCAACACTAAAAAATTATCCTGTATGGAAGTTTGAACTAATGTATATCACACACATTATGTGAATTATTTTATTTTTTTACTTTTATAATCTGTATTAAACTTTTATCAGGATTCAGTAAAGTACTTTAATTTTAGTTCTGTATGCCAATTTTTTCATAACCTCAACTAGCCATCTCACTTGCATGAGCAAAAACTATATCCAAAGATGGCAACATAAACGAGGTTTTATTGTGGTTATATTTAGGTAATTGTTGATGAAATTACTTCAGACTGTTAGGAAGCTATACTGTAAACACTATTGGGAAGCTAAATTCAGATAAGCCTGATAAACTCATCTTTTTACTGAAGAAAAGGGTCCTGAAAGACAAATCATAAACTAGCTACTTTTTTAATGGACTGAATAAGTAAATTCCATGTATTGATTTATATTATGTCTTGCCAACTGTATTTTACTGTACATTTTTTAGAAATTTTGTAGCCAATTATTTCTCAAATCAATGGGAAGAGAATTTCCACTGCTCTTAAGAGACTGTCTTAGTATGTTAAAGACTGGACAGACTTTGATTTTCTATCCCAATTTGATACATCAAACCTGTTTTACCCATGCACTGAGACTTGTTGCATAACAAGTTAGAACCTCATTCTTTGCAGTCATTGCAATCATTTCCCAAACCAAGCTATTCTTTAAGGTTCCTCTACTTATACAATAGTGTAAAGAGATTTCCTGAAGTTCCTCTTCCACTACAAGTTATCTTTATGAGATCCCCACCTTTACATGGTTAGAAGCTTCAGTGTTTTATTCTGATAATTTTAATAAAATGGAGGAGGCAAGACTTCAGTTATTCTTTTGAAATTAGGAGTGTGTAAAAAAATTATCAAGTTTTGCATTATAATTGTAAATTATTGATGTACTGAGTGAGGAGACGACATTGCATATTGCAAATACAAAAGAAGCATTTGCAGTTCCTGAAGTAAATTGGTATAAATAAAACATCTATCTCATTTTTAGTTAGCAGTGTTAAGAAGCTAGAAACTATTAGATTTGTTTTAATTGAATATTAATGCTCCATAGTGTTGTCTGTTTCCAATTTGATTGGTTTCAGGTATGGAGTCTGCAAAAGTCTAATAAAAAACTGATTAGAATTTGCAGATAAATCTTAATTATGAGACAGTTAAAGATATATGTAGGCTACGCAATGGAGAACAGCACATAATTACACTTTCTGTGCTGGTTGAACTTTTCCTCATTTTATTTTATAGTTATTTTGTGTTTTTCTTTCATTGCTGTTATCACTATATATCCTTTGGTTTAAAAACTCAATGTTTGCATGTTAATCATCAACTTTACACTTAGCTGTTTTGATTCAAAATTGTTCTATTAGGATTCATCAAATGAAACCAGTTCATGCTGTCACATGGTTCAGTGAAAGGGAAGGGGAATGAAGTCACATGTGGCATGATAAGCATACATCAATGAACAAGCAGGGAGAAGATCAGTTGTCTTGGACATTTTCTTTTTGGTATGTAGTAGTGAAAACGTGACCAGAATTATTCAGAATCCATCCAAGGTCAAAACGTGGTGCCACCACTTTGAGCCAACCAGTAGAGAAGCAGGCATGCAATGGAAACACCCTGGATCACCAACACAAAAATTTCAAGTCAGGCTTTCCAGCTGCAAGGTTATGATGACTGCATTTTTTGACATTGTGGGGCCTTTGCTGGTAGATGTTAAAGACTCTCATGTGAGCATCAATGCCAGCTGCTATAATGCAACATTGGGCAAGCAAAATAAAGCAATAAAGAATAAAGCAACTAGGCATGCTATCACATGGTGTGATTTTGTTGCACAACAATGCTTGACCACATGTGAACACTGTTCAGGATGTTTTAGCACAAAAAGGTTGGGAGATTCTGTATCACTGTTTCTATAGGCCCCAATCTGTCATCATGTGACCTTTATTTGTCCAGACCTTTAAAAAAAGCTCTTAAGGGACAATGCTTTAAACTCTGTGATGCATAAGTCAAGGAAGCAGTCATCCAATGGTTCAAGAACCAACTAATTGTTCTTTGCAGACAGTATCTATCATCTCCCCAAGCAGTGGAGAGTGCCTGTCTGAATGCCTACAGTAACTTTTTTAATGAATAAAAGTGCATTCAAGCTTCCTCATAAATTGCTTTGTTTAATTATGCCATACCAACAGATATACTGTTTGGTTTGTCTTAATAAATTTACTGAAATGGGTTTCATTTGATCAATCCTTGTATTTTTTTAAAAATTGTCCAAGATTCAACTTCCTAAAACGTTCAATGGAAAATACCAGACATTTGTATTTGTTTTTTGAATGTCATTCTGATGGAATGGAGAGGTCCCAAAAACATTTTATTTAATAAAGCTTTGACTCCTAAAGTTTCCCTTCTGAAATCAGTTATACTCAGAAACTAGTTTAAATTTGCTCTGATGACTTCCTACTGATGTTGAATGCTCACTTTCCATTTTTAGGAGCATGTAGATATAAGTTCAAAATAACATTTGAATATACAGAACAACTCATTATGCCAGCATTAATAAAAATTTACACTATTTACTTTGTTCCCTTAAAATAAGACTTTAAAAGCTTATTTGCCTACAATTTTCTTGGTTGCCTGAACGACTTAAAAAAATACACTCTAATGCACAAAAATATTTTCTAAGTAAAAAATTCTTTTTTGTATTAATTATTTATATCATCTCCTTTTAGCACTAAAATTTTTTTTTACTTCTATTGAATCCAAACCTTGGAAACCTATTCATACTTTATTATATATTACTATTATGACACAAATTCACTTTAAAGGATTATATTACCCTTTAAATGTTACTCTGAAAACAAGTTTTTCCAGTTCAAAGTTTCCTTAAAGTTCAGATTAACTGAAGATTTGATCCAACTTTAAAACTTTTACATGTATGCTGTAAACTGTTTATCATTTGAGTACACTTTAAATTTTTGGTTTAAGTTGAAAGATGGGCATTAGTTTAAAGACAGATCTATTTGAATTGATGACAACTAAAATTATGAAATAATAATCATCTTTACACAATTAATTTTTTAATTTATCCTTATAAATTTGTACAGATAAACAATATTTCAACAATAAAATAGATTTTCAGAATATCACAATTTCCATAGAACTATTTATTAACAACAAAAACTTAATCTAAATTCTAATAAATTTCTAAATTAGTATTATTATGTATATGTAAATTATGGAATTACCTAAAATACTTATCACAATAGTTTTATTGCTACCTCTTGACATCTTAAATAAAACTGATATAAGAACTTAACCTATTCTGAGCAATTTCAGGTTGTGATAATGTAATATTGTCTGTATAAATCTATTTTTCAAATGCTTTTGCTAAAATTAAAAATATAACAGATGAAAATATAAAAATTCCACCAGGTAAAATTTTTATCATATGATCTTCAGTTCCAACAAATTCCATTGAGTTGTCTTCCCAATGAAGACTACGTTCAATAGCTTTTTTCCATTTGAAGTATTTCCTCTCTCTCTCTATATTGGTGATGGTAGGAAGAAAGGTATCTGTAGTAATATTAACAAGTTCTTCCTTTCTTAAAGACCATACTTCCACACCTTTTGCCATACCGGCAGCCATTGCTACACCTAATGCCGAAGTTTCAGGCATCGACGGCCGCACAACAGGAATTCCAAGTATGTCTGCTTGAAGTTGCATTAGTAAATCATTGACCGTCATTCCACCATCAACTTGTAATTCTGTTAATGTAATTCCACTATCTTTATTCATAGCTTCTAAAATATCTTTTGTCTGAAAACATACAGCTTCAAGCATTGCCCTTGCAAGATGAGCTTTTGTGCTAAATTGTGTAAGGCCACAAATAATTCCTCTTGCATCTGGCTGCCAGTAAGGTGCATATAATCCCGAAAAAGCAGGAACTATATATACACCATGAGAGCTTTCAACACTATTGGCTAAATTTTCTATTTCTTCAGACCTTTCAATAATATTAAAGTTATCACGAAGCCATCTAACTCCAGCTCCTCCAATAGCTATTGATCCTTCTAGAGCATAATAAGTTTGAGCCTCTTCACCAAGTTTAAATGCAATTGTTGTTAACATGCCATGGTCAGAAAAGACAGGTTGTCTTCCAGTATTACGTAATAAGAAACATCCAGTACCATAAGTACATTTTGCTTGGCCGACATCAAAACACATCTGACCCAACAATGCAGCACTCTGATCCCCCAAGCAACCAGAAATTGGTATTCCTTCAGCAGGACCACTAGCTATCATACCGTATACTTCGGACGAACTACAAATTTTTGGAAGAATTTCTAATGGAATGTTAAAAAATTTACACAAAAATGGATCCCATTTCAAATTTTCAATATTCATTAGCATTGTGCGACTAGCATTTGTGATATCAGTGATATGAATACCTCCTTTAACACCACCAGTCAAATTCCATATTAACCAAGAGTCAACAGTACCAAATAAACAATTTCCATCTCTAATTGTCTGATTTACAACATCATTGTTATCTAATAACCAGCGAAGTTTCACAGCACTGAAATAAGTCGAAAGTGGTAAACCACACCTTCCCTTCAAATATTCTTTATTGTTACCCGGTGTTTTATTAATAAGATCCGTAACAGTACCCGAATTTCGAATATCCAGCCACACTATAGCATTGTAAAGTGGCAAGCCGGTCCTTTTGTCCCAAACTATAGTAGTTTCTCGTTGATTTGTGACACCAATCGCTTTAACGTCAGTAGGGGAAACATTTAAATTTTTTAAATTATCGAATGCTTTTTCTATACATATATTTACAGATGACAATATTTCTAACGGATCTTGTTCCACCCAACCCTCTTCTGGTAAAAGCTGTCTGAGTTCAACCTGATGATAAGTGATGATCTGTGCAGATTTAGATGCAAAAACAAAAAATCTTGTGCTACCTGTGCCTTGATCAATAGCTCCAACAAGTGGTCCATAATTATTTGGCATTGTTCTGAAAAAATATATAGTTATTTTATAGTTTATAAATTTTAACATCTAAATAAAATTACGTACATTTAGTAATGAAAAATATAAATTAACTAATTTCTTCGACTTTCTTCTATCTCTGAATATATTTATGCAATCGTTAGTGTTTTTATAGCTAGAATCAAAGGTCACAGTTCATTCTGAACAGATTTTAAATTAAATCAGTTGTTTTAATAACAATATCGACTCAATAATTTTTGTACAAATTTAACAAAGAGATGATACACTGATATAAAAATTTCAGCGAGAATCTTAAATATTAAATAATTAGAAAGATTTCCTTTACAGAACAAATCTTACCGTTCGTCCTCCAAACCACGTGTCGCGGAAAGTGCTGCCTCCTACATACATTACCTGAGACCTGCCCACTCATTTATTTTTTCTTACAATCGAAGTTTGAATAATAACCACTAGGGGCGCTGTCATTGTCTGTATATTTGTAAAATTATTCAAAATATTTGTAAATATCTAAGATAATAAACTCACAAAAAGGACAAACAACTCTAAATTAATATATTTTATAAGTCGAAATGGTAGGGATTTACAATAAACGATATTAAGCTCCTCAAAAAAAGTAAATTTATTTATTATTAATGAATTTACTGTATTAAAATTAGACATTTAGAATATTACAATTGTATTATTATTTTTATTATAATAATTTAAGTTCAGAAAAAGAAATTGTCTAATACTAGACAATTCCCGTGAAGGATCCAAGATAGAATCTCTCGCGGCTGGATGGCCGAGCGGTCAAAGGTGGTAGCCTACCGCTCTGGGGACCCAGGTTCGAATCCGAACGGGTCGAAAAATCCCCAGGAATTTTTCGGGGGGTGGTCCGTTCGGATATGATATATGATGGGCCCCGTCCCTCACCACCCGGCAGCCCCATTGTGGGCCTGGCCGGACCCATAATGGGCCTGCAAAAAGAGGCCCTCTTAGTGCCCACAGGGCGGAAAGAGTAAAAAATAAAAATAAATAAAAAGATCGAATCTGATCCGGATTTTTACAATTCGTTTATACTTGGTAAGATTTTCTTTCTGCTCTCTTATGTTGACTAAATTAATTTTTACTTATGGCTCATGCGGTTAATTATGATGTATAATACAAGTGACACGCATGAAAGACTTTTTCTTTTCATATTTGATTGTTTTCACTCTGAGCCGATCCTAATTTTAACTAACAAGTCGGCTCTCCAGCGCGGCAGTATTGTTCTTATCTACTTCTGAAGTCGTTAAAATTTAAAATTAGTACATGATCCATTACGTTTGCGTTATTCAAAAAATATTTTAAGCCCTGGGCCCCCAAGTGTCAAGGCCCAGGGCTTAAAATGACAAAAATTGATTATCATAAATCTTTAATACTTTTTCATTAACAATGAGCACTTATCGTATAGTAAAAAATAGTTAATATTAATAATATAATAATATTGATAATTTATAGTATTATTTTTTTATTGTAATAATTCTAAATATAATAAAAAATGGGGCCCCATTAGACTTTAATAAGCCCTAGGCCCCAAAAAACCTAGATCTGCCACTGTCTACCTGGTAGGCGGAGCTTAGCTACTTTACATAATTTGATGAGTCGTCCATAGTCACGTGGTTTTGAAGGTACTAAAGATGATGTTCATTTTCTGCCGAAAACGGAAGTTTAGAGGGTATTTTGTGTTCTATTTAATCACTTGGCTACGAACCGGCTTGAAATATTTGGTCGAGATAATTTCCAGTTATTTCAAAATCGATATAAATATGCTATTTTATAAATAATAATAATTCGATCTAAAAAAACGAGTTAACATACACGTAGAAACCGTTTAGTTTGAAAGTGGCCTACTTCATTTAGTAGACTACTTCAGTTGCATATTACAATATGTTTTCATTGTATGTAAGTTTTCAACCTGGGTTTTCGTAATTTTCATGATGATAATGTTTACGTATATCTCTGGAATGAAACCGTTGCATCCAGAGATGCGAAGGAAGTAGCATCGTGTATTCTGAAACATCTAAAAAATCCTCGAAATGAAAAACATATTATAGCTTATAGCGATATGTGCGCAGGACAAAATAGGAATATAAAGTTAGCTTTAACATGGTTAAAAGTTGTGCAATGTGTCAAACATAAGGTGGATGTCATTGTACTGTACATAAGTTTCTGTTATCGGGGCATTCATTTCTACCGAATGATAGAGATTTCAGAGTTGTAGAAATGGCATTAAGAAAAAATAATTTTATTGTTTGTCCCCAGGATTATTACGAAGTCATAAAAAAGTGTCAAAAAAGTAAAAACTTTATTCTGAATGAAATGAAACAAGAGGATTTCATTTCAGTTAAACTCTGAAGGACTCGGGTTTAAAAAAAAAAATTAAAGAATGGAGAAACGGCAAGTTGGTCAAAAATATGTCGGATGCGTTTTTTGAGAAATGAACCTATAAAATGTTTTATAACACATCAATTAATGAGAATAAAAAATTTAAAACTCTGGATTTACTACTGCGTTAGAGAGATTAAGAAACTTTAATAATATTGAATTGACACTACTGTACAAAAATGTAATACCGATTTCAACACCCGAATACAAAGATATGATGGACTCATTACACCTTCCTCACCTCACGGACCACTAAACTCACAACATTGAATCCCGTGAACAACTAAAATGAATTTTTTTTTTTTACGATACAAACATCTACAAATAATGATCACAAAAGTTTTATTATACTTTATTAATATGAAATTCACATTATAACAAATTAGTGTGAGGTTTGTTTCTGCTTGTTTGAAATAAGTTTATAGATTCTTGGCTCTTTTCCACGAAGGACGACAATCGCACTCACAACATTATTTATTGATAACAATTATGTTTGGTTTTAGATTCAAATAAAAATTCCCCAATGAATGAGAAAAAGCATCCAAGTGTTTTGCATTTCTTTCGTAATACTTCGCGTAATCTTGAGTTGATCGATGTTCAAATTTCTCTACGGACCACCAAAATTTTCTCGCGAACCACTGGTTGAGATCGCTGGTATATCTTATACGTGCAAAATGGAGATGAATAAATTATAAATTGCGATATTTAATTTCAATGTAACATTTTTTAAACGTGAATAAAAATTATTATTTATATATAATACAATATATTGTATATTGTATTGTTTTATTTTAAGGATATTTTATTTTTTTCAAGGGGGGTTTACGCTTTTTCAATGTTAAAAAAAAGTAATTTCATAATCCTGAAAGTAGCTTAAACTTATCCAGGGATAACAAGAACGTATTATTTTAAAATAATGTTTCTTTTACTAATTGGCTAAGTAAATTTAAACACTTAAAAACATGTTATACTACTATGTTATCAGTTAACAATATTTTGAATCAATTAAAAGGCAAATCTTTAAATAACTCGATTTAAAGATAGAGTTAGCCACATTAATAATAAACGGCTCATATCACAGTTCGGATAAAATTTTCACTTCGAATTTCAAACTAACCGAATCTCTTAATACGTAAATCTTTTTATCTCCGGCCAAAACGAAAGTACAGTTAAGAACTAACGGAATTTGAACTATCGAATTCGAATTAACGAGAATTCCCTGTATTAGAAATCAGAGCAAAACATGCATTGTCTATTTTCTGATTGAATAAATTAAGTGTAATTAATACGGGTAAGTATCGATTGAACATTCTTTATTCAAGAAAGTTTTACATAATATAGGCTATAATTAAAATGTTAACAATTTAGGTATTGATATGAAGTTGTTATAATGAAATTCATTAAGAGGAAAACGTGTTTCCAACAAACTTATAAACTCTGTTTTGTATATTAAAAACAGAAAATTGCAATTAAAAAATGTCAGCAAATTCAAAAATATTAAATCTTTTCTTAAAACCATGTGCAAAAAATATCGAGATGGACGGAAATTATACTTTTTTAATATAATTATAAAATTCGAAAAAAATTATGTCTGAATATAATATTGTAATGTTTTAGAGTCGAAATTTTTTGGAAATTCGAAAAATATATCATTTAAATTTTAAAACCAGTTTTGCTTATATCTTTCGATCGTTATAAATCTGTAGAAATTACAACTTACGAAGGAAAATTATTTCTAAGTATGAATATTGTAATGTACTTTCAGATCATGGTTTCGAATAAATATCGCTGGGCTTAATTAATATTCATATGGTTTTCGTCTGTTGTGAGTCCGAAGATGTGCAATTAAGTGCGCCTTTTGTGTAAACTTCTTTTTACACTCGTCACAAGTGTAAGGCTTTTCTTCTGTATGGATTCTTTCATGAATTTGCAAACTTTGTTTAGATGCAAAGTTCTTCTTACAGTGATTACATGAAAATTTCTTCTGTTTCCTTTTCTCTGCAATTAAAAAAATTGTTTTAAATAATATTTTATCGATGCGTAATAAAAAGTATCTTAACTAAAAATAATTAAATCAATAATAATATTTAATTGTATAATAATTTTTGTATCTAAAAGAAAATTTCTGCATTAAAACACAAACAAGTAATTTTAGAGATGATAAAGTTCGAGTATAAATATATTATGTTACTAATATCTTAAATAACAGCTAAGTAGAGACGACATATTAAAGTAAACAATTTCTGTAAAACATTTTTCAAGTGTATTGATATTTTCATAAATTTTCTTCCTGTATCCTTGCAGTGGTTCTTATGCTTCTTTTATATTTTTAAATGAAGATCATCGATGTTAGTAAAGCAGTATATGTAATATTCAATTTCTCCTGAGAACTTGGAAAATATTTTCTTCTAAACTTTGTGTTTCATCCAAACAACTGGAAGTAATAACAATAAACGTGAAATAAATTGTTAAAAATTTAATTTTACATGACTTTTAATATTAGAATGAATTATTCATATTCTTATTCATTCCTATTGTTAAATGTAAACTTGTATATGTTGAATTAACGCAAAAAGAACATTGTATTTTTAAAAGACTCGTGTTAAGTATACTTCTCTTATAACTCGTTCTCGATAAAAGAAACTCACAACGTTGAAACGTGTGAAATTCAAATTCTTAAGATCGAATCATGAAATTTATTCTTGCAAAACTAAATTAATTTTTTCTTTATCTTCGTTTTTGTTTCCTGTATTTTCAGGGTGAAAATTAGCTAAATGAAAAAAATTAAACGATTTTAAATATCAGACAAATTCATATTCAATGTATATTCTACAGTGATTAAAATTTTTATTCTCTACGCTAAAATATATAAATTCTTATCTTCAACTACGAAGGAAATGTAATTAACCTACAATGCAGAAAATTTCGTAGTAAATTAGTATAAATTACTAGAAAGAAAGAAATGAAATAATCTTAAGGCGATTTATATTTAACATTGAATTGATAAAAGCTGCAAATGATAATGACGACGACGACAATGATGAAGAATAAGATATGAAATATAAAATCATTAACCAAAATACAGTTATTCCATAAATTATTGATAATCATTTTGCAAAAATAATTTTAATTACAATTCAATATCAATATTTAATTGTTGTTCTCTGTTTATGATTTTTTTTCTTACGGAAAAAAAATCAATACAATAAATTTCATAAAAATTGTGCTTATGCTTAAAAATTTCGAAGAAAATATTTCAAAAGAATTACTAGGAATTCTTTGGAAATAAACTTACAAAATTACATTCTCGTGAAGCAATACTTGCAATCAATTGTCAGAAACAAAACTTTTAAATGATGATAACTTGTTTATATATATATATATATATAACNTTTTTTTTGGAAAAGCTTATTTCCATTTACTCTAATTATAGCATTTTAATAATAGTTAATATGTGGCATGTAAACTGAGTTTGTCTGATCTCGTTCGTAGACTGAGAAAGTTTTATAATAATTCTAGATTTATTTTGGTGTCAAGGGAAAAGAAAATAGTACATTAATATAAAATGTTATACACAAAAACGAAATTCTAATAAATGAAAACACAGGGGACATTAGTAGCTTTTTCATGAAAACGATAAAGCGTGATAGATCACATTAAAATACAGTGTATGCTGAATAAGCGAGCGTGTATTAACTTTTAAAAGTTATGACCTATTCTTGCACATCATACGCTACAATAAAAAGAAAACTAATAAAAAATATAAAAAATACTACAGAAATATAAATTTATGGCATTTTGAGCAATATCTTTGTCGGTTGCACTTGCTGATGTGAGTAAGATGGTTGTAAAGGAAAAAGAATCACTTATGACACAAGGAAAAAAAATGTACATCCTGTATTGTATCATCATCGGATTAATTGAAACGTCAATGTAAACATATATTACAACTTACACAGTAGTTTTCATATATTGACAACTTACACAGTAGTTTTCATAGTAACTTATAATGCACCACTGAAAAAATATTCCTGAACAGATTTAATAATAATTTTAATAGGAATAATTATTAAAAAATTTATATAAGCACGAATTTTCAAGCTTGTGTATTTGCAAGTGTTGAAACTCCAAACATACCTGTACGTTTCATATCTTAATTATTAATATGTATTTATTATTAGATATACTATGATATAATTAATTAAAAATACAGTCAAATCTTTGAATAATGGCCACTGACGACAACGTACAACACGGCCGACTAGTGGCTAAGAAGTTCAGTTCCTGAACACTAGGATTTCGGTTGCATGTTCGCTCCTTGCTGGAGCCGGCTGGCCACGTGGAGTTTTCCGGGTTTCCTCCACGTCTGTAACGCCTAAATAGGGGCCAGTTTCCCTTAAAAAGACCTCCCGGAAGGCATCGCCCTAGTGTTGCGTTGCCATAACTAAACTAAACATAAATTCTGTAAGGGAAATAATTATACATATTTAAAAACTAAATTTATTGAATTTTTAAATAGTTTGTTATAATTTTTAACTTAAATACTGTATTTATTAATTTCATTTGCTTAACATAACATTCTATTTTTCACAATTACTTAAAAGTCTAAATTATAATAAGCAGTATAAGGTACGTGTTATATTACTAAAAAAGCGCACACATTCAATATAATACGTTATAGTATATTATGTAAAATGACATAAGATACATTGCATATTTTAAATTGACATAATATATATCCATGCTTTACATATCTTAGGATTTCCGTGTTCTACAATTGTACATACTGTAGCCTATAATATGTCCTATGTTTATGTATAATTTTTCTACTTCGAGAGTTGATACTTTAAAGTCATAAAAAAATGTAAGTGTGTAATCTACACAAAATATAGAAACATTTGAATTTATCACCATTAAAATATGAAAGCACAAGCATAAACATTTATACAGTACAGTACGTGCTATATTCTTACGTGTCGGATAACATTTTTTCACATTGTCTGCCAGTAAAGTTTATATATAATGCCGATTAGGACATATTTCATACACAATATAATTATGTAAATAACAATATATTTTCAATAATATAAAATTTTATCTTGTGACCTTTATTTTATGTCCTGTCTGTTTTTAATGTACATTTATAACCAGCGTGGGTATATAATTATTAAATGATGTATTTTTTTATGATATAGATTGATAAGGAATCATTGCCTAATTATGATTGCAACATATATAACAGCAACCTTGAACTAAATAAAATACTTTCTATTTTAAAGATATAGGCCTACAATGTGTTTAACACGAATTCCTTTATCTAAAGTTTGAGTTATATCGACGATTTCTGACGCAGATTTTTAAGGTTGAATCCAAAGGCTAAATGTCGTCTACGACACTATCTCATAAATATCATTACGTGGAATTTAGACCTGTAATCTATAAGTATATAATATCAGGGTTCAACCTACAAGTCAATGGTAAGAAAATAACTTTTGTACAGAAAAAACTAAAAGTATTAATTATTAATTAATCCAAACACAAATTTTATTTATGGCAACGAATTTTAAAGAAACCATTAACGAAAACAATGCAAATTCTTATTCTGACGGAGGCTATTCTATATAATTATATACAAAATTAAAAAACTGTTATGATAATTGCTGTATTAACTTTAATAGGTTAATTAACAAAGTTTAATTAAACTCAAAAATTTAATTGTGTTTTTGGGTTTAATTATTGATTTAGTTAAGTGTCTTGTGACACGACTGATTTTTTTGTCATTTTGTGGGAATGAAATAGGGCAATATTTCCAAAAAGAGGTAAAATATGGTAATTTTATAGGGATTAAAAATTGATTAAACTCAAAACATTCCATAATTTTCGTTAGTTTAATATGCAATTTATTGTACATGCCTTAAAAAATATAGAAGGTACAAAACGTCTTCACTTCCGCCCTTTCTAACAACCAGGAACTAACAGTCTTCCTTCGCAGAGATGACTTTTTATTGTAGGCTACGACTCTGCAACATATGCTAAACAGTCTTAAAATGTTCAGTGATAAGCCATAAAAACTTGTAAAAATTATATATTGATTTAAAATGGCAGACAGATATTTACAAAATATAGAAAAAAACAAAACGTCTATTTTGTAAATATACAATTTACAAAATAGTACTGTATACATGCCTTATTTTTATAAATTACTGTTTATTTAGTACGTCATTCAAAATTTATTAAGCATGAATTTTTCTCAGGAACGAATCAAATTTTACAAAGCTTGGCGTCAATCAAAAGGAATGAGTGGTTTCGATTCATTATTTCGGGAAATAAATATTTATGAAGCTTCCAGTAAAATATTCTATTTTGCATAAAATGCAAAATGAAAGAAACTTCTCCATTTATAAAATTTTTATACCAAAACAAAGGAATAGTTTGTCAAATAAATCAATGGATTGTCTGTGTATTGAAAAGTTATTTTAATAAAAATGTTTAACAGAAACTTAGTTGAAATATGTAATATAACAGCAAATAAATTTAATTTATTCATTTTTTCAGAGTAGCTACCTACCTAATGCTGGATAACTACCAATTTTTATCAATGTCCCTATTTCTGGTTTTGAACATAGGCAACCTTCACCTCATATTGCATTACGTATAGTATGTTCTACATGAAATATCCGGTAACAGACGGTTCATACGAACTGTTTTGCTTAGAATCATTCATATCTCCCAGGATATTGCAATTCCTCCTGAATCGCCCGGTACAGTACATTGCATGTCAAGAATTTCAGTTTAACTAATTGTTGAGTATTTTATATATATTAAAATAAGTTTCTTAACCAAACTAATTTAAAAATTAATCAAAAAATTCTACAATTTTGTAATACAATTCCAAACCCGGAGGTGGCAATCCTACATATACCCGTTTTAATTATTCAAGTTTCGAATTTTTCAGCATTGAACCTTGTGGCACCTGCTGCAATACCAAAGGTATCGCAAAGACCAATCAAAACCACTGCATTGTGTTATTTAAAAATTTAACTTGCGAGTCGGATTTAAAGTCCATAACTTACATACTGGTAACATTAGTTTTAAATAAAGTTTGACGAGTCACAAAGTGTAATAATTACATTTCATCAGTGAATATAAACTGTCTTAGAGACTGAACTCTTACGCGAGTTGTTCATTCAGTAACCACTACAACACACTAATTTACAATAAATTAATTTTTAATTTTAATAATTTCGTATTTTTTTTAAGTAACATATCTTTAAAATATTTTGTACACTTCAACAATAGTTTTACAAATCTAATTTATACGTGTATATATATATATATATATATATATATATTTGCCTCATAATTTAAACGAAAATATTTTATGCAATAAAAATGCATTATAATAATAGCGTTATCCATGGCACATTCATATTATTTAACAATGGTTGGCAACTGGATAAATATCTAATTCCCAAAATTGTTTTTGTATTTTTACATTACAAAACTTGGTTTGCCGTATCTTTTTATATAGTATTCGTGTGTACATTATAATTTATATATTTCTCGTTGATAAATGTGTTCGGAGCAGCAGTGGAGCAATAATTAAATTTTACATTTAAATAAGTTTGATGGCGATGCTAGGAGTTCGGGAATCGAATTATTATCTAGAAACGACGTTGATGCTTTTTTAAATCAGAAAAATTTAACGCGTGCGAAATGGACACTCTTAAATTCAAAATAAATGTAGAAATAAGTGATGTAAATAAAATTAAATATAAGAATATAATAATTTTTTAAACATAACATTTACCTTTTTCCTTTGATACATATGTGTATATATATATATATTATAACATTTATATAAAATAATTTAAATTGCATTTCTTGCTTTGGTAAATTAACTAGAAAATTTGTGAACCTTATCCTTTGTAAATGCATAGTATATTGTTCACGTTTTTGAAATTTATTTGCATACCTAAGATTATTAACTTCGGTGATTTTCAATTTTTATAAGGATCTATACATTTTTTTAATGTTTGGAATGTGACATTTTATACTTTCGGTGTGCTCCGATCATTAACTGTGGATTTTTTAAGTTTCCCTTTATTGAACGACTGGATGGAATTCAATAGCGCATTCCTGTCGGATGTCTGTTTAGGAAGACTCGAGGATGATGCGGGTGGAGATATGCCACCGTTCGGTACAGGCGGAGGAATTGGTGGGGGTAGTGGGGGTGGCGGGGGTGGTGAAGGAGCCGTAGAAAGTGAGAACAGCGATGACGATGGAATGAGTGGTGGTGGTGGTGGCGGCGGCGGCGGTTGTGATACTGCATTTCCAACTACCATAGAAGATAAGGCCGGCGACGAAGCACTTTTCGGAAATGACTCTTAAAATATAAAATGTTAAGATCAATCAATTTATCTTAATTTTTATTTTAAATAATATTGCTACTTAGTTTTAGCTTATTAGTTATAACTTATAACTAATAATAAAAAAAAATTACTTTAATACAATAAAATACATGCAATAATATCAGGGTTCAACCTACAAGTCAATGGTAAGAAAACTTTTGTACAGAAAAAACTAAAAGTATTAATTATTAATTAATCCAAACACAAATTTTATTTATGGCAACGAATTTTAAAGAAACCATTAACGAAAACAATGCAAATTCTTATTCTGACGGAGGCTATTCTATATAATTATATACAAAATTAAAAAACTGTTATGATAATTGCTGTATTNCATATTTAGATGATTTCAAATTCTTGAAGCTGATATATCACACAAAAGAATCAAAGCAAAGTTAGAAGTTTTGTATTTGATTCCTTTGCATGGCATGTGTTAGCTGTATGAGTCTAAATTTCTGGTCTACAGGGTGTGTCTGATGATGTTGATAATTAGGAATATGCGATGGGAACGACATTCTAGCTTCAAGCATGTAGGATAAATAAGGGTTGAGTTGGGTAGATGGTATTGAGAGAAAAGGTTTGAAATTGAAAATTTATCAATGATTGCATTATCTCTTTCAATAAATTAATTATTAAATAAATATTAATTTTTATTAATATAAAACTTTTACATTAAAAGAACAAATAATAAGTTCAGAATTAGAATCAAGAGTGCACAAACTGCAAAAACTATTTAAAAAATTAACAAAAACATGCATATAGTGAAAGAGAAAAAGAGATAAGAAAGCCTTTTTCTTTTTTATTGCAAGAGCACCTACAGAAATGGGTGTGAAGTCCTGGATGAACACACATTGGAAATGAAGAATTTTGATGTGCCACAAACATCATGATGTGGATCCTAAGACAGTGAAATAACATATTTATTATAACAAAAACAACTCTGAGAGATTTGGAAATGAAGCAAGCACAAACAAGTACAATGTGTGCAGTATGCATTCATTAAAGTAATCAACAAAAAGAAACTGCATGCAAAGATTAAAGATTAAGTTTAATTGGTTCAAAAAGAAGTCAAGCTACTGTAACTTATAGAAACATTTAAGTAAATTTTGCTAAAAGAAACTGAGCAAGCAATTTATTTTTATAATTAGCTTTACACTTTAATAAAAATGCAATCATGGTAAAATTACAGTATTATACATTCATGTATCTCATTAAATCAATGACAGTTAATTGCACAGTTTATTATTTTATAGTAATTTTGATTCAAAATATAATTTAATTTAAAAGTGATTTTGAATCTTTTCTAAAAATTTTCAATTAATACTTAGGTTACAGTCAAAACCTGATCTTATGTCAAAACTAATTTTTACACATCCATTTCTGTTTACATAGTTCAGTGTCAAAAATGGACGTGTGTGTCCCTATATTTCACTTTTCAGCCAAAACTACACATCGCACATGAATGGTGTTTGTATGTGGTAGTAGCCCCAAGTCTCCATTCGTGCACTATGGTGGTTGTGTCTTGATAACTATAAGGGTGCAGGAGATATGGGGTTTAAAGTGGTTGACTTCGAAGATTTTATATTTCGATTTTATTTTAAAAATGTTCAAACCGTTTTAAATTTGAATTTGTTCGATTATAGAACAATTACAATCGTTCCAGAAAATTGATAAAATTGAAAATAGTTTGTTCGACTAGACGTGAACAGGAGACGTTCTGTCTGGAAACAAGGGACCTAATTCTTGCATTCTGTGAAAACAGGTAATGTATTTATCTTAGTCTTCACTATCGTTACTTTTTGCCCAGCGAAGCGGGTCCTTGCAGCTAGTTCTTTATAAAATTTTTAAAATAGTTTAAACATGTTTAATATATAACCAGTAATGAGAACAAGCAGAAAATGCCAAAATGTCAGTGGCATGTGGTGACATTTGATGATAGGGAAGCTGTGCTGGTCCTGGATTCCTTTGCATGGCATGTAGCATCCACAAGCTAAACTGCATAAGGTTGGTGCTCTGTATAGCGCATGAGCGAATGTGTATAATTTGGCTGTTTCACACAATTCAAATATTTTCACCATGGAAGCTATCCTGTATTCAACAATACAGTGCTTCCATTGGGAATATGCATATACAAATTTATATTCAAATATACAATAGCAAGGTTATAATTTTTTTCCACATGTAGTATAGAAATTTGTAATAAGATACATAATGCAGTTATAATAAAATATTAATTTTAAGTAATTCAAAATATGTTAAAATATGAAAATAATTGCACAATATGTATTTATATTTTAGAAAATACAAGGTAAGCAGTGCTTCCACAGCTTCCATGGATGGCACATCACTGCAAAATGTGTGTTATACAATTAAATACATTACTGATATTTAGAAAAATAAATCTTTTTCTTAATATGTTAAATAATACACTGATACTCCATGAATTACATGAGTCAATTTTTCTTATTAGTAATTACTGTCTGTCCCATAATAGGATCAGTATAAGTAATGGTACTTCGGCACTATGGTAAAGAATGCTTGATGGATTTGAATTTAAAGCACACTTAGTATTAGATTAATATATTACTGTATGTTCTTATACAGTAATATATTAGTGGCTTGGCTCAAATATAATATAAACAGAATAATTGCCTATAATTAGCAATGTATGAGACATACATAAATTAATTTGAATTTTTCCTCCATCTTAAGATGCTATTTTATTTATACACAGGTAATAAAATAAACTGTAACCTGAATTCTTCAATAAATAATTACTTTATAGGCATACTCAGGATTATTTTAGCCAGAGTGTGTCAAAATGCCATGTGGACAAATGCATAAAAAATTATATCTAATATGTAGAACTGATAGTTGCTCAGTAAAAACAATTTTATATGTTGTCACCAAGTGTGTATGGTAATAGTTTTTTTTTAGAAAAAGAACATTGGCTAAACTTAATTAGTTTACATCATAAAAGTTTGCATTAAAGAGCCTTTAAAACAATTTAACTGTTCACTTTACATTTTAGACTGTCAATACAAATATAAGTTTACATAATTTTGATGCATAACTATTTATACTAGTATAAATGCATAAAACATGAATTTTAATACTGTAAATAATTTTAACCATAAATTTGAGAATTAGTATAAGTTAAATAAAATAATGAAAATTAAAATATCAACAAGTAAAAAAAAAATACTTTTAGGCTTAGAGTATTTAATAAAATAAGGTTTATTTAGCTTAAATTAAACATAGAAACAGAACAAAAGCTACCTTATTTTTATAGAAAATAAAGTTTAAAAAGCTTCTCTTCTAAAAAATTATCAATAGTTTCTTTATTTTATATTAAATTTATATATTTATCATAAATTAAAACATAATTATGCATATTTAAATTNATTCTCAACATTACTTCTATAACTATATATAAAAAAAGCATCACAAAATTCTTAAGAATATAAATTATTAAGAATTGCTTTGAGATCCTATCAAGTCTTAAAATTCTTATCAACTTATCAGTTAACATACAAATTTAAAAATTCTTCTGTGTAAATTAATTTCTTGATTGATACATAGAAATTTTCAGTCTGTTTTGTATTCAAGACATATCTTCAATGGCTATTAAGTTACTACTAAGCTATTTCTTATCCAGTCTTAAAAATTCTTATTAAAATTTTAATATTTATCAGTCGGGAAAACAATTTTCACCAGTGCACAATACTGAACTGAATATATCAATTGAATTGTCTCTCTAGCATTCATATGTCTCATTGAAAAGCATTCAAAATTTTGTAATTTTTTTCAGAAAAATAAATTTATATTGAAAATCTATAAGGAAAATATCCAAAATTTCTCAAAGCAGTTAATTAAAATTTGGAATTTTGTTTGATTCTAAAACCTTAATTTTTAATTGCAGCTCAATGAGATAAGAAATAGCTAAGTGGTAACTTAATGGTCATTGAAGATATGGTCTTGAAGTCAAAACACACTGAAAATTTCTATTAATTATTTTCAATTCTTTCAAAAATTATTGTATAATAGATTTTTATAGCAAATGTTTATTTTTATTGCATAATATATTTTATTCTTTTAATTTTTGGACAAACTACTTACCAACATATAACACATCACTCAATAAGTCTCTGGTCTAACTAAAAAAAATAAATTTTATTTTAGAAATTCAACTTTATTCATCAACATACTCTCCTTCAAGAGTGATACATTCATTCCAACACTCCTTTAACTTTTCAATGCCTTATTGTAGAACAATTTGTCTTTGCTCTCAAAATAGGCTTCAGTTTCGGCAATCACTTCTTCATTTGAGCCAAATTTCTTTCCCTGGAGCATCATTTTGATGTCTACAAAAAGCCAGTAGTCACTGGGGCCTGATCTGGAGAGTACGGTGGAGAGGAAGCAATTCGAGGTGTAATTCATTCAATTTAACCATCGTTTTCATCAACTTGTGACACAGGGCATTGTCTGAAGGAAAAGCACTTTTTTCTTTTGCATGTGAGGGCATTTTTTTCTTGATTTCTACACTCAATCGATCCAATAATGCTATGTAATGTTCACTATTGATAGTTTTACCTTTCTCAAGATAGTCGATGAACAAAATACTATGCACATCCCAAAATACAGATGCCATAACCTTGCCAGCTGACTTTTGAGTTTTTGGTCACTTTGGACGACTTTCACCGGCTGCTGTCCACTCAGCTGACAATCTTTTTGATTCAGGTGTGTAGTAGTGGATCCATGTTTCATCCATTGTCACATACAGATGCAAGAAATCCTTTTTATCTTGCTTGAACAGCTCCAAACAGTGCTCTGAACCGTCAATGCCTTGTTTTTTGTCTGGTGTGAGCAAATGCGGCACCCACTTCGAAAGCAACTTACACATGCTCAAATTTTTGTATAAAATTGTAAACACACAACCTTCTGATATCTTTAAGGTGTCAGCTATCTCACGCAACTTCACTTTACAGTCTTTCAAAACTATTTTGTGGACTTTTTTTTTGTCTTTTCCAGAACAACTGCTGAATTTGGGCGACCAGAGCATTCAGCATCATCGATGTTTGTATGACCATGATTAAATTCAGCATACCAGTCAATAATAGTTGATTTCCCTGGTGCAGAGTCTCCATAATGCTTATCAAGCCACTGTTTGGCTTCAACAGTATTTTTCCCCATCAAAAAACAATGTTTAATCAACACACAAAATTATTTTTTATCCATTGTTTTGAAAATTACAAAACTGGGGTCACTAAAACCACTGTAACCTGTAAACTAATTGTCAGAATGTCATGAAATTTTGACACATATCTTTGAAGGTTGGTACTACCAGAAATCATATGGATCTGCCAACAGTGTTGCCATATAGGTGTCAGACTGGAGACTTATTGAGTGATGTATTATTTGCATTAAATCACAACTTAAAGAGCAGTTGTTCCAGAAATTAAAAATTAACATTTACAAATGCTAATGCTATCTACCAATTTAAATTTTCTTGTTCAAATCCTAAACATTAACATTCCATGATTAAAAATTAATCTTTGTACATCAAATTTTTGAATTATTTGAATAAAACTGAAAATCTTTATTTAAACAATTAAAACATTTGATAAATACTTGTAAAAGAATCTAATAAATTTCAAATTTCTTAAATTAAAATGCTTTGTTTGAAAAAGATATTTTAAAAATGTTTCTGATGAATTATTAGGATTTACATTAAAAAGCCATTAATGATATGAGATCAGACATTATTTGAACTGTGTTATAAAATATTTGATTTAATTTTAATTTTAGACATTGATCTAAATGCTACATGTAATAATTGCACATAATCCAATTTTGAAAAATTAAGGTACATTTTATAAAAATGTTGGCTTGATTAAACTTACATAAAATTATCATAAATTTATTTTAAATTTGTATATTATTTATTTCTTCAAAAACATACCAGGAGTAGTAGGACTTGGTGATGGGCCATTTTGTGTTGCAGACACACCTAATTGTAATTTTTGCTGCTGTAATAAGAATTATACATTTTAATCTTCAAATCTAATTATTGTAGTATAATTAAATATTTTACTTAAAAAATCTTCACAGAAGTACTTTAATATTTTTCTGAAACATATTTTAATAATTACTTTTGAAGTTTGCTTTTATAAAGCTGTAATAGAATTGAATAATTATGCATTTTTATTTATATAAAAATGTTATTCATTAATTAGATAAAAAAATTATTTAACAATCTACATATTATTGATAGCTGAATAATTTTAAAGTGAAAATTAATGCTACTGATGTGTATTAGTATTTCCTGTATTACACAAAGATTAATGAACACTCATTCAAAAGTGTTTTTTTTAAATATCCATTACAAAGATTTTTGAATTATTTACTTATTTATTAAATTAGATTCCTCTTTAATTTTTTAAAATTAAATTCAAATTTAATAATATAGACAATGGTTTCTATCTATTTTTAAAAAATTCAAGTTTTATATATTTATATAAAATTATTTCAGGTTATATTTCAAATAATATAAAATCTGCATCATTATATAGTATTGTACTAAGCATTGTTATTCATTTATAAATAATAATGCAAACTAATAAATAAATTCATAAATATAAACACCTTTCGCCTCTCATCTTGTCGTTTTTTCTTATTTTCTTCTGAATTCAACTGTGCATGTACTTTCGAAAGTCGTTGACTATGCCTAATCTATATATAAATATAAAACAGTTTTAATAATCATTAAAGTATATTAGGATATTTTAACAGTATCAGCATTTGATAGTGTTAATAATATAAGTATTGAAATCATCATTATTCTTTGAAAATATTCAATTTTTCAATCCACAATAATTTGAATTCTCAACATTACTTCTATAACTAAAAATTAAGAACTAATATATAATAAACTAAAGTTTATTATGTATTAATAATTTACATTACATACCACACGTTGCTCTTCTTTTAATTGTTGATGCATTTGTTCAATAGATAGCTTTATACTATCTTTTAATTGTGATGATATTTTTAAATGTCCCTTCTCAACATTTGTTGCAATTGAAAAGAATCTGAAGAGATAAAACATTATTCCATATTTCATGTTTACTTCCCATTTAAATATCAGAATCATTCAGAAATTAAAATATAAATACAAAAATAAAATTTGATATACATTATTAAATTTATTTGATCATTTGTATTTGAGAAATAAAATATTTATAAAATTTATATTATTCCTTTAATGACAGCTTATCAAGTAAACTAATGCTTTATCATTAAAGTCATTATATTGAAAATCCTAATATTTGAATGAAGAATTGTGTATTTTTTCAATAATTTCTACAGCTGACAAACTAAAAGGACTAAAGTACTTGGGATTAAAATATTCTAAATATTTTCAATAAAGCATAAAATTATAGGCCATAAACAATACCAATTTGGGAAAGCAAATTTAAGCAATTATATTTGATTATAAAATAATGAATATGTACGTACGGATGAGATAAAAGATTCATAACAGAAGGAAGTCCATTTTTACATGCTTCTTTTGTAAGTATTGCTTCTAATACAGATCCTAACAAATTACAGCCATAATAAGCATTAAGAAATTTAAAAAGATTTTTCATTCTCTTAGAATATAAAATTAATGCCTACTAAGTTCTGCTGGACAAGATGATGGAAAGTTATCACAAGTTGGTGTAAAACATGGAATTCCAAATGTCATTTCATACAATAGATGACCAAAGGAGTATACATCAATAACTTCTAATGTCTGAAAATAAAATAAAACTTAAACAAGATCAAAAAAATTTAATATATTATAAACTGTTAAAAAACATATCAATCAAATGATTACTTCAAATTAAGTATTTAATTTTTTATGACATTATAAAGATATAACAATATACAAATAGGAATGTAAACATCTATAGTAAAATGATAATTTGTATACAGTAAAGCGTCATTTATCCGAAAGTCAATCATCCTAAAGAATTCCAGTCAGCAAATTTAAATTTTCGCCAGTGCTGTGGCGTAGCAATCTTTGGCTATGTCTTAGGCTACTCAAATATTTTACGTTTTTGATACTAAATTAACTTCTGAAGTATAATTTTTTATTGTTTTTATATTTTTCGATATATTTATTTTGTTTGTACAAAATAAAAAAAATAATTTTTAATGATAAAATAGTCTTCATTAGGCTTAACTTCGGCGAAAATACAACATGAAGCGACACGCAACAGAGAAAAATTTCAACATGGGATAGGTTAATATATTTTTTCATACATAATCAGTTATCTGAAATATCGATTTTCCGAACAACCCAGTCCCCAATTGATTTGGATAATCGATGCTCTACTGTAATTTATAACAAGATTTGCATTACAATTTCCAATATTTCTTTTATTATAATTCTGATACAAAATATTTTATAGTAGAAAAATCTAGTTTTAAAAAACGAATGTGATGGTTCATGATTCACATTTTCAATAAGCCATAAATTTTGAAAAATTGACTAACATACAATAAGTCCAAGATTTAGAGAGAGTTTAACTGGTATCATTGTATGAGTTCTTTCTTCCACAAACAGCTGTAAATTGCAGTGACTCCAAGTCTAGAAAAATCTTTGATATACAAGATATGACCAATATATAGTGTATATGGTATACAGTAGACCCCCCTATAACACAGAATTATCTACTGTTATAGGAGGGTCTACTGTATTTCAGTTCTAACCTATTGTGTGTGTGTGAAGGTTAACTGTTAAGGCAAGTGTAAGCCTAAATCAGTTTTGAATTATGTTCAAAATGACTTATAAACAATAATTTATGGTATTTTATTTTTGTGAGGGCCTTCAAATAGAGTTATTTTACTAAAATTGTCAAAGTAATATCAAAATATAGATAATCTCAAAAAGGAACTCATAAAATCAATATAAGAAATACAAATAACAACTTGGATTATTTATGAACTATTTCAAGACTAATTAGATTATAAAATTTTATAGGTAGTTCCATCATATGACAAGAAATTTAAAGATTAAAATCATTTCAATTAAAAAATAATTTAACAACATCTGTAAGAAAAAAATAATACAAAGTTAAACAAAATTGCCTGCAAATCAGGCAGATATGCTACTGATTATGTTTTACAGACTTTTAATTTAATCTTTATCATCTTCATCATGTACACACAAATATATAACTTAAAAACATAATATAACAGTAATGATCAAAACTTTAGTGAAAAATTTCAATATAATTTAATTAAATATATTATTTTATTAAACTAATATGGACTTAAAACCTAATTTATTTAAAAAAACCAGAATAAATAATTGAATGAATGAATGAATGCTAATATGGAAATTCATGTAGAAAAATGTTAATTTACATATTAAGTTATGCAGGATAAACATAATTAAAGTCATCTGCAGACACATCTAGCAGATAAGATTTAACCAAATTTAAGAATATTCTTTAGAACACACAAAATGCAATTTTCACATAATAATTAATTAAAAGATTGCCATCAGAAGAAATTTGGCATTGTAAATGGTGTGTGTAAATGATGCATATATATAAAACTGCAATTTTAAAAATGAACAAGAAATGAAAATATGGAATATCATCATTTTACTATGCTACTAGTTTACATAAAGCAGTTACTAAGTCAGAGTCAAAATTTGTCAGGCTGTAAAGAACTGTTGTTCTGAGAACTGTCTGATAAAAATCATACCATACTCAATGGCAGAATGATCTAAAGATATCTCTATTTAAAATGAACTTGTTTAACATAGATTCCTTACAACATAGCTGATAATAGTTAACAATCAGCATTTGCTTTCTCCAGCATAAGCATAAAGATAATATTAAACAAAAATATAGTCAGTAAAAAAGTGAATAAATATTTAAAATTACTTACTTATTATGATTTCTTGATAAATTTTTTATTAATATCAAATTAATCATAGACCAGATTTAATTCATACAGGTGTAAGCTGTAATGTGTAAGTGATCCTTAAAGATATTATTGAATGAAAGTGAAGTATCCTCAGTGAGATCCTAAGCTTATCTTGTATAGTTTATGTGTAAATATAACTTGTTTGAGCAATTAATCATCACTATAGAAAGTATTAACAGTGTTAATTGGAAGTCTATCTATCTATCTATATATATATAAGTCTTTTTTTTTATAATCTTGAGATATGCTAAACAGTTTAGTTGCTCTGCAATTAAATCATATTTGTATATTGATTTAATTATTCTTATGTAAAATTAAGCACTACCTTATATTGAATATTGTTCTGTATCAGCTACTGTAACAATGAACTACATAAATTCTGGATTCAGGCTTATGTTAACTGTAGATAATGAACATTAAGTGTGTGGGGGGAGGATAATTCAAAAGTCACAGAAATTTTAAAAAATTAATAACTCACAAACTATTTATAATACAATGATGTGGTTTTCACAGAAATGCTTAGAAAAAAGCACGATCTTTTTAGGTATAATAAAAATTTTAGTATCAAAATAGTTATATTTCTTGCCATAGATGGCAATGTGTGCCAAAACTGAAATCATTTGTAAATTTGTTAAAGTAAGAATAAAAAATAAAAATGTTCTTAGTATTAAGATCTAGTAACAACTTCACAAATTATATAATCTTATCAAGCACCATCTATGGCAAGAATAATATCAAAACAGTTACATTTCTTACATTTTTATTACATATGAAAAAATCTTGTTTCTTTCTAAGCATTTCTGTGAAAACTGCATTATCTTACTGTATATAGTTTGAGTTATTAATTTTTTAAAATTTCTGTGACTTTTGAATCACCCTGTACATAATGTTCATTATCTACAGTTAATATAAGCCTGAATCCAAATTTATGTAGTTCACTGTTACAGTAGCTGTTACAGAACAATATTCAATGTAAAGTAGTGCTCAATTTTACATAAGAATAATTAAATCAATATACAAATGTGATTTAATTGCAGAACAACTAAACTGTTCAGCATATCTCAAGATTATCAAAAAGAACTTACTTTTATAACAACTGAAGACATTTACAATATTTTGTAATATTGTAAATGTCTTCAAACAGAAAACTTCATCTAAATTCTCATAGATTTGAAGTTAAACATTATTTTTTATCATTCTATTTAGAGAAAACTGAATTTCACTGATATAATGTGTTTTCTCTTTCTCTTTTACAATTTTTCTAAATTGTATGTGTATGTGTATTTGAATTTTAACTAAATTCCTAAATTATTCTGAAAAAATATACAAAATAAAATCACAAAAATTAACTAGAATCATCTACATTGGTTAATTTTATGATTTATATATAACTAAATCAGCTAAACAAAGTTCACTGCAACACCAATGATTTATACTGGATTATATCTGCAATTCACATGCTCACTCAGTTGAATCAAAAACATTATGCAAATTCTTGTAAGTTCTATTTTATTGAATAAGTTAATAATCTAATTAAATTAGTGATCACTTCAATTAAAGAATATAAAATAAAATCTAACACAAGTGGAAGATCATTTGCACTTGAAAAGTTGCAAATTATTCTGTAAAAAATTTTTCTAAAATAATATTTAGTAGGAGTTAACACTTAAAATCTTTTTTACTATAGTTTTACTTTTTATACATTTTATTTATTTTTTGTTCATTTTGTATTTTACATGTTTTACTGGTTTTATAATATTGAAAACTTTGGATACTGTTTTAATCTTATTTGGAAATTGTTTTATATTGATTGTTAAAGGAAAAGGCATCTATTTGTCCAAGCAACATTGCCTTTATATACAATAAATAATAAATAACTAAAATGTAAAATCTCTTTTTATTCAATTTGGTATTTTAAGTATAAATATAATTAAGATTAAAAATCTTATGTTAATTTCTAATGAAAGACATACTTGTACTTTACGAAGTTGCACAAATAAAGGACGCAGATAAGCAGGTTGTCCTAAAAGCTGATTTTCTATTTCTGAGATTTGACAGGTATTACCTTCAATAAATACATTTCCAGCATGTAGATGGCCTAATAAATAGATTACATTTGTAATTAAATAATTTATAAATGTTCTTTAGAAATTGATGAGAGTAATAAAATAATTAAAATAGTAATAAGATATATAATTAATATTTTCTTTTCTTAATAATCTATTGATATTAAAGGAAAAATCAGTTTAATAAATTAAATAAAAAAGGAAAATTAATGTATATGATTTCTCAGCTAAAATGAGCATTTGAAAAACTCAAGAGAATGAAATCTTGGAGATCAAAGAAAATGAAGACTTTAAAAGGGATTTGCATAAAACTAAATGATTAGTTGCAGATGCATCACTTACAATGCACACACAAAATAACCAAATTTGTCTATTTTTCATCTTAGTTTTTATGTAAACGTCTGATAAAAGAATTAAAAAATAGTTTTATAAACTTGGTAACAACTTTTTGCAACACTTTTCAAAAACAGATACTTTATAATTTCACATAGGGTTCTAATACTGGGAAGTTTTGCTACATTAAATTTTACTACTATGTTCAAATTATTTTTAATTGTAAGAATAATATAAATTCACATATTATTCTTTGTACAAAAATTACTAAAGCTCATTCTTAAGAAGCTATTTTCATTATTAATGTTTTAAAAATATTTAGCTTCATCTGCAGAAAAATACAAGCTTCAAAACATTTTAGAATATAAATTAAAAAAAAGAGAAATTTAATATTTTCTTTTAAAAGTTTCATTTAAAAAATTGATTTTGTATAAAAACCACTGTATTCCTTTGTTTAAATTATATTTAATTTTGTTAACATAAAAAGTTTGAATACTTTCTTCTTCTATTTTAATTTTAAGTAAATGTGACACAGGCAATAACATCCTGTCTTAATTAATATATATTTTAAAAAATGTTTTCTTATACAAACCATGAGGAATGCCTTTTTCATGAAGAAATTTCAGTGCTAACAAAACTTGTCGACCATAAACTTGAATTAATTTAGGAGGAAGAGGTGAACAAGTTTTTGGCTTAGCATACTTCTTCAAAAATACACCTTTTGGTTTTGTCTAAAAAAAAATATTTAATATCAAATTTAATATATGCATATTTCAGTTATAGTTACAATAAGCAAAGTTTTACAAATATAATGATATACTGTATTTTAACTTATATGTTTTGATACTTCTAATTCTGATAAAATTAATTATTATTATTACAATGTGCAGATTTCACTAAATTTAAAAATGATGATTATTTGGTTTGTTAAAAACTAAGGCAATGAATAGCATTCGCAGGCATTTTATTTCCAAACTGGCATATGGTAAAATGTAGCAAGGCTATAATTAAAATTCCACAAACTTGATCCCATTTTCCATGTTAAGCTACACTATCACAAATTGTCTATATTCAAAATATTTCAAACTCTTGCCTCATTAATTAATTTGTTTAAAAATAAGGTCTTAATTATCAAAATACTTTCACTCTACCACATATACTGGTGTATGTCAATGTGGCTTACAAATTCACTCAAAATTTTCAGTTCAAAATTATGGTTTGGACTTATACCTGACATAAGTCAACTCTCCAAACATATAAAAGATGCCAGTAGAATAGAAGTGAAATATACATATAATGAAAGCTTATAACAAGACCATACCACTTATATTGAAAGATGATATGTTAGTGTTTCAATAAATTATGTATTTATGTTATATATGTAATACAAAATGATGTGGATGCAGACTATACATAGACACCAAGCAGTAATGAAAATCTTCAATAACTTATCTTGGTAAAAATTCTTTTGTACATTTCTGCCATTACATATTATTAAAATCCAATAAAATATTAAAAGTTTACACAGCAAAGTGTCAATAATATATATGGCATAATAATAAAACACTGTATTATGCCTTTCTAAAAACTTAAATTTACACAGTCTATCATGATACTCATTAATATAGTGGTTTCCAATCTTTTATACAGTATGCCTCTCCAATCAGGGCTCACGTGCAATGTCGCTTTCCCAGCATATGCATAAGTATTGCTCTGTATTCAGTATTTATTTGTTTTTATTACAAATTAAATAATATCACTACAGTTTGATTGAAAATATGAAGCAAAAATACAATTGCACTACTAAAAATACAAATATATTGGGTTGTTTGGAAAGTAATTTCGTTTTTTTACCACTAGACGGATTAGTCGTATTTTCCCTGCCATTTTCATTCTAAACTGTATTATCATTATATATTTTGACAGCTAGCATTTTAAGGCTTATTTGTAAAAAATTTTGTTTGATTTTGTGCAATTGTTTATTTTTTGTGTCCCATCAAATATGGAAGATCAAAAGCAGCATTTTCGGCATATTTTGCTCTTTTATTACTGAAAAGGTAAGAATGCTGTTCAAATGAGAAAAAAATTATGTGACGTGTATAGAGAAGATGTATTGACAGAACGACAGTGCCAAAACTGGTTTACAAAATTTCGTTCTGGCAATTTCAATATTGAAGATACACCACATTCTGGATGGCCAGTTGAAGCCTGATTGAAGCAAACTATCGAATAACAACACATGAAATCACTAAGAGATTACATTTGCCAAATTGAACTGTTTATGATTACTTGAAACAAATTGGTTTCATTTCAAAGCTCGATATATGGGTTCCATGTGTTCTTAAAGAGAGATGCTCTCTTTGGTGGGATTTTAAGATAATTTTTTTTAGAGCTTTTACCAGACAATTTAACAAATAATTCAAAAGTGTACTGCCATCGAGTAAACAAATTGAGTAATATCATCAAACAGAAAAGGCGGCCAGAATTGATCAACAAAACATGTTTTACCATGATAATGTCAAATTTCACACAAGTTTGGTAACTCGTCAGAAACTGTTATAACTTAGAAGGAACGTGCTATCACACCAAGCATATTCACCAGATCGAGCACACTCAGATTATTATTTGTTCCGGTCTATACAAATTTTTTTTAACTGTAAGACATTTACTTGAAATGACAATGTCAAAAATCACTTGGATCAGTTTTTTATAAGCAATGATCAAAACTTTTATGAATGTGAAATCTTACTACTATCAGAAACGATGACAACAGGTATTTGACCAAAATGGTCGATATATAATTCAATAAAATATTTATTTATTATAAAAACATTGTTTTTTCCACGGAAAAAAACAAAATTACTTTCCGAACAGCCCAATACCTACCTACAGAACTTTGCACACATAAAATAGGTAATATATGTACAGTACATAGTATATAACCAGGAATTTATTCCTTCTGAATAAAGTTATAATAATGCAAATTAAAACTGGTAACACCAATGTGAAATTTGAGCTTGTTTTGAATTACACAAAATAATCAATGTTTGGTTCTAACTCTGTCAGTCCCAAGTGCAGGTCATTTTACTGCAGGAGCTATGGCTTTTACTCTAGTTACAAGGCCACTATTCTTCCCTGCCATAACTGCAGTACCATTGGTGCATAAACCTATACAATCAATCTAAGTCAAGCCTTCAGCACAGATAAATTCATTAAGTAAGCAAATATATCTTTCCCTGAAGTTGTTGTCGGGATCATTTTATAAAACAGTAACTCTTCTCTTATATTTCCTTCTGCACCTTATCTCACATAACAAATAAGCTGAGTCTGTGATCAATTGATTCATTGAGTTTCAATGTAAATATTTGACTTTATTTTACTTGTTGAATTAACTGTTTTCAAATACATAGCCAAGTCATCGATTTGCCATGAAACTATTATTTGACAGTGGAATAGTTCATAATGCCTTTGCAGCTGCCTCTACATTCATAATGCAACACATTTCTAAAGCTGCCAGAAGCAACAAATTCTTGGCAATACTGTGTGATTTCTCACATTTAGCAATTTTTATTGCCACTATATAAAAAGCTTTTAATGCATCCTGCAATACCTTGGCTTCTTTTGACATTATAGTCTTCTGCTGTTTCAATTTCATCTCTTTTTGAACAAAATACTCACAATCCTTGTGTACATAATTTTCATGCACTATTTTGAGATATCTTTTAAGGCTGTCATTGGTGAGAACTTGAAAACAAATGACACATTGGGACTGCTGAATGCTGGACTTGCTACAAAAACAAGAAAATTCGAACTTGATAAAACTTGTGTCATATTGCCAGCACTTTTTCTTTTCTTAATCCATTAAGTTCACTTTGGTCTGTAGATTCTGCATTTCTCATGGTTCTCTTCAAATAGCAGTCCATTATAAATATCAAGATGATTGGTTGTTTAGTTATTAGATTAAGTAAAATATATGGTGACAGTCCTGACAAGCATTACTTATGCAATGAAAAAACATCATGTGCTTGTGGAAGGCTATCATGTTGCATTTGTCCATTTTATCACCATACAGTTACTCGTCAGTCAGCCACTGAATAGTATTACACACACAAACTCGTGCCTCCCTTGGAAGGTGCACCTCACTAGTTAGAAATCAGTGCATTAATGCATTGACAATTATACTGATCTTATCAACATGTTATAGTTTCACATTTGTCTTAATATATCAATACTACATCATTAACCAGATGATCTAAAAAGCTATTATCAATTCAATACAATATTAGTTTGTTTTTAGTAACACTGGTTTAATACTGCTAAACTTTTTATATTCTGATTTTATCAGTGTCATTAGTCATTATATTTAGTCCTTGAATTTAAAATATTTTAAGCCAGTTTTCATTTACTCAAACATATATTGCAACTTGCTGGAAAAGCAAAATAAATTACTATCTAAAGAGTATAAATGAACTGAGTATTAATTGTTATATAAAACTTTTAAAAAATATCACTATTTTTACTTCAATTCTACAGGATAAAAAAATAAATTTTAAAATTGAAAATTTTTTAAAACTATATTATTACATTTTTTTAAATATATCCAAAATCCTATTGACTTCCAAATTAATTTTCAAAATTTAATTGGGCAACCATCACATTAATAAACATAAAATGCAATAAAGTAACTTACTTTACATAACATGTCACGCAAACTACCATTCTGTTGATAATTGCGAATGACTAGACCACCATTTTCACTTATGCAAGCAAATATCACAGGGCATATATGAGGATGCTGAAGATAACACACATTTTAATTAATTACTAAATAATTCAGTAGCTTACAAATTTTTAGACAAACATTCACAGATAAATAAAATAGAATAGTCTAACTAAAAACATTACAAGTTATAATGTAACAAATTCTTTTTCAGAATAATTAATAGTACTTTAATATATTGATTATAAACATATCTATTATTAATATATTAGATCAGGGGGTCACCAAACTATGGCCAATGGGCCAGATCTGGCCTGCAAGGTCAGTTCATTCAAGCCTGCCGCCATACTGTGCCACAAATTAACTAAAATATAATTATTTATATGGAAATATCATAGACTGTAGATGAACTTACTATGTAGAAAAAATTAAAATAAGTGTAAGCAAAAATGCCAAAATTGGTCCAATTTAATTTTTGCACTTGATAGTAATATAAATTTTAGGAAAATCAGTGAAATGAAAAATTTGGTGGCTTTTTGCGACTTTCGATATCAGAGCACTTTTTATGTGAGTACCTGCAATGAAATTTCTAAGAGAAGCAATTACAATCTTGCTGCAGCCATTGTATTTGTGTATTTGTAAATAAATATGTTGGTTTTCTTTATTTTTGTTATTCAGTATACTGAACAAAATGGTTATGTGGCCCGTGCTTGTCATTCTCTCAGTTATCTGGCCTTCTGTGAAAAAAGTTTGTTGACCCCTGTATTAAATCATCATATGATAACTTGGTTGTTGTTTTGTTTCATGTTTCTTTCTCAGCTGAATATGAACAAAAACAATTATACTTATTCTACTTAAATTTTATAGAAAGCCTTCTTAGACTTTCTACAAAATTGGATAAGCATTTTTATGGACTTTACATCCCCAGCCTTAGCTCTTTCTAGTATTTAGAATTTTTAAAATTTATCATATGATGTAAATAACATATCAAACAGTATTTTTAATTATTTCAAAATATAATCATAATAATAAAATAAATAATATTTAAGTGTGAGTGACAAATCATTTTGTAATAAATGATGATAATAGATAAATAAGATAAATACTTAATAATAATGAAAAAAATCAAAAAGAAAAAATAATAACCTGAATTGTATTTAAAAGCTTCATAATACTTTGTAAGTCTCTATCTTCAAGATTTTTATCTATTCCAAAGGGTTGCTAATCAAAGAAAAAAAAATATATAAATTTTCACTGATAAATTACATATTTATATATATAATAGAATAGTTTATTGGTTAAGACAAGTTTATTTACTGCTAAAATTATTAAATAATTTTTTACAAATATCAAAGATATGAAATATTTAATTAATATTCTCTTGAAATATCAACAATTAAAACTATGATTTTAAATATCAACAGTATATTGGCATATAAAATTTTGTTATCTTGTATTTATCATGTTTATTGATATTTTATATATTAAATCAAAATATATTGCAAACAGATAAACATATTACAAGTATTTAAAAGCAGAAATATTAATAAAATATTTTTCAAATATACTAATATTTAATATGAATACAAAAAACATTTGTCAAATATAAGAAAAAAAACTAAATAAAATTTTTTAATACCTAGGTAAAAAAATATCTTGATTTGAGATCTTACCTTATGACATTTAATAAATCAATTATCAAATTATTGTTATTAATTTTATTATTATTATTATTTTAAAAGAATTTTTAAGCATAAGATGAGGGATTCCCAACAGGGTTGATATAGATCCCCTGGAGGTCAATTGGAGCCAAAGAAAAAGTCAGATACTTATTGTATTTTTCCAAAATTTTCAAATAAGAATGACAATAATCATTTGGGAAATTCAGCAACTGATTTAATAATTTACTTGATATATTACAAAAATTTTGGAAATATAATTTTAAGGGAACCGAAATGAATATTTTCTATATGGGAAAATGCAAAAAAAAAAAGTTGCAAATAGCTGAATAAGATTATATGAGATAAAAATATATACATATTATAAATTACTGGCTGTCCAACTATTTTTTTTTTTATGACAAATGCAACAATATATTTAAAAACTATCCTACATTAAAACCAAGAGTTCTGATAGAATAAGTCTTTTTTTAAATTCTCATTTTGTGTAGCTGTTTGTCTTTAGTTTATTAAGCTATCAAATCTGTAAAGCACTTTTAATGAATATTTTTGAGAATTTTACTATTATTTACTTACTTATTGAATTATTTCAGAAATAAATATGAATTATTTTTATTTTATCAATAAAACACACCTTTAATAATCCAGCAAATAAATATTAGTAAAATAAAAATATTTTCAATAATTTCTAATGATCTTCAGTTAACATAAAAAACAGAACACCAAAATAGAATGTAAATATGAAAATAAAAATATAAATAATGGAAAATATAGTTGTGGTTGATAAAGTAAACAAACACAGAAATAATATAAATTAAGCTAAATGTCACTTTACAACATAAATATGTATTTTATTCATTTTAAATTAATACAGATAGTCATTGGTTAATGCACTTTCAGTCAGTACTTATTTGTTTTAAGATAGTTAATTACGAACAATTTTTATGCTACATGCCATCACTTTGTAAAATGAAGTTTCTGTATCTAGTATAGACTTTTGAGAGTTCACTTATTCAGTTACTTTCAGTGTATTACCAAGAAATATTTGTAATTATTTTTTATTCCTAAATTATATATAAAGATTACATATCATCAGTATATATATAATTATTTTTTTAAAGTCACTGCAGTTTTTTTCAATTAACTTAAACAAGATATAAGATTGTTATAGTTGATAAATATTTCAATATTTTACTTATTTTTTAAATATTTGTAAAAAAAAATATATAAAACTTAAATCATCAATTAACAAGTAATTTTTTTTATTACAATAAAAGTTGCAAAATAATTTAATTAATAAAATCATACCCAAGATAACAGTAACCTTTGTTTTGCATCAGCTTTAGGTTTAATAAGAAAATATTCTTTCCTTAATCGCCATCCTAAAATAAACAAAATATTTCAAAATTAATTTAAAACAATATAAAAAAAAATATTTTTATAAAGATTCATTTATATATATAAAACTTTGTAAAAATATAATCAGACTTTGTCTATTAACTACAAACACACTAATATACAATACATATGGGGTGTCCACAAACATCTATCCAGGGGTAAAAGAGATCTTTCCAGCAATGTACTAGTGCTAAAAATAACCAAAACTATCTATCCAGGGACAAAAGAATAATTCATTTAAAAAATGCCACAAACTCTGCCCAGTGGCATTTTTTAATGAATATGACTATACCTCGAATATTGGCCAATATCTGAACATCCTAATCATGACAGTGAACAAATGGCTTGTTATTAGTGCAACTACATCAGGTTTGGTACCAGCACAATAATGAGCAATCTCATACCTGAACAAACATGCATCACAGCTAACAGAGTGGTTTGGCAATCGCTAGATAGGATAACATGGCCAACTGTACTCCATGACTGACCATCATGTTCCCCAAACTTGACTCCTCTGGATTTTTCCTTTGTAGTCACCTAAAAGCATCAGTATATGATGCATACCCAGCAGTGCTGCACAATATTGATAAAATTTCACATAACAGGTTTGTAAATGGTGACACAAGAAATGCTACGTGCCATCCATAATGCCACAACTAAACTGGCTACATCTTTGTATTGCCACCGAAAGCAATCATTTTGAACATATTCTCTAACAAAAGAAAATTCACTTTTTTTATATCCATTTCTGCAATGTCTTTGCAGTCAGATTCTTTGTATGTTATGCTAAATTATCTTGATTTAAATTCACTTTGGTTATTTTAGTGCTGGAATAAGCTTGCACCACATTCAAACTCATGCAATGCTAGAAAATCTCTTTTGCTAGACAGATGTTAAGTGGACACCCTGTATATGCATAATGAGTATATATATGTATCTCTCTCTTCTTGGTGCCATATCAGATTTCTGACGTCGGCGACACCCGGCGCAGATTAGTAANAAAATATAATCAGACTTTGTCTATTAACTACAAACACACTAATATACAATACATATGGGGTGTCCACAAACATCTATCCAGGGGTAAAAGAGATCTTTCCAGCAATGTACTAGTGCTAAAAATAACCAAAACTATCTATCCAGGGACAAAAGAATAATTCATTTAAAAAATGCCACAAACTCTGCCCAGTGGCATTTTTTAATGAATATGACTATACCTCGAATATTGGCCAATATCTGAACATCCTAATCATGACAGTGAACAAATGGCTTGTTATTAGTGCAACTACATCAGGTTTGGTACCAGCACAATAATGAGCAATCTCATACCTGAACAAACATGCATCACAGCTAACAGAGTGGTTTGGCAATCGCTAGATAGGATAACATGGCCAACTGTACTCCATGACTGACCATCATGTTCCCCAAACTTGACTCCTCTGGATTTTTCCTTTGTAGTCACCTAAAAGCATCAGTATATGATGCATACCCAGCAGTGCTGCACAATATTGATAAAATTTCACATAACAGGTTTGTAAATGGTGACACAAGAAATGCTACGTGCCATCCATAATGCCACAACTAAACTGGCTACATCTTTGTATTGCCACCGAAAGCAATCATTTTGAACATATTCTCTAACAAAAGAAAATTCACTTTTTTTATATCCATTTCTGCAATGTCTTTGCAGTCAGATTCTTTGTATGTTATGCTAAATTATCTTGATTTAAATTCACTTTGGTTATTTTAGTGCTGGAATAAGCTTGCACCACATTCAAACTCATGCAATGCTAGAAAATCTCTTTTGCTAGACAGATGTTAAGTGGACACCCTGTATATGCATAATGAGTATATATATGTATCTCTCTCTTCTTGGTGCCATATCAGATTTCTGACGTCGGCGACACCCGGCGCAGATTAGTAAGTAGTTAATAATATGTCAAGGTGTTACTAGGGAAGGTTAGTACCCAGAGTGGTTTCCCGTTGCCTTCTCTGGGGCGCGATGTTACGCGAGGGGAAAGAATGCCTTCAGGGAAGACTTTTATGGGGAACTGGCCTCCTATTTAGTCGTTATCAACAAGGAGAAAACCTGGAAAACTCCAAGCAGACAGCCTGTCTGATCGCGGCGCAAACCCACGACTGAACTCCCAGTGTTTAGGGTACGAAGACAGCTCGGCCACTGGTAGGCCATATATATGTATAATAGTAAATAAATAATAATCTAAATTTTTCTATAAAAGTTTAGATTTATTTAATTATCATCAAGTCTGCAAACCACAATGAAGCTAATTAATAATTTAACCATGAAGGTAAGCAGCTTGTTAGCTCTTACCCTATTATGACAATAGAATTAATGTAATATCATTGATAAAGTATTAACCTAATTAGTGTAAAAATATAAATTAAAATCCAGATCCTACAATAATACATCATCATGTAAAAATCAAATTAATTCTACAAAAATAATAGATTATAGATGGCATTTATAAAAAATTTTTAATACATTAATTTTATGGATTAAAAGAAATGAACCATGCTCAAAATAAACTGTTTTATTATAGAAATGCTTGAAAATAAAAAATTTAACAATATTCATTTAAAAAGTTAAAAAGACAAAAGAATTTTAAAAATATATTTTTTATTTTATAAATAGGAAAAACTTTTTTTCTTGAGATAACTTTACTCAGCTTTAAAATTTAATTTTTTAATTAGAAAACATTAAAAACATCTTCTAATAAGCAAAATCACTAACTGAATATCTGAATATCCTTGGAGTTACCTTGCAATCTTCAAATGGGTGCAAATCATTGGACATCATTACTCATTTTTTTAAAGGAAATGAAAGTTCAAAATATTTCCAAACAATAAATTCACTAGATTTTTAATTCTTGACATCATTAAACAAAGTTATAAAATGATTTAAAATTAATATAAGGCATGCAAAAACACATACGGATCTGTTTTGCTGACTCAACAACTAAGAAGTTGTAACTTGTCAGTTAAGAGTTCTTTAATATATTTTAATTTCTTTTAATTTATTCAGAATAACTTTTGCTTTCTGTTATTTGTAAGTTACTTAAAGTACAATGAATAAAATATAAATAAAATAAATAGAACAGACTATAAATATAAATATTTAATATAATCAAAGTTCCTAGGAACTTGTTTCATTTCCTGGGAAATATTTTTGTTAATTTTGAAGTTTGACTTTTCAAAATTTTAAGACCCAGGAACCAAGCTTTACTACTTATAGCTTTATAAAATATTAAAATCAATTTAATAGCATCAATGTATAAAATGAATTTTATATTACACTTTATTTTAAGCAATGCAGTAAAAGTATTATTCCTATGATAGTTTTTATTCAAATAGAATTTATCTTGCTAGAACCTTAAACTGTCTTTTAATCAGAATTTATTTGTCATAGAAATATAGTCTTTTTTATGTTATAAATATATATGAAATATAATGAAATAGTTATAAATATAATGAAAAAAATGCATTAAAGAAATATTTTTAATGCATATTCTTTATTTCATTGTAACAATAAAAATTAATTAAATATATATAACTGACTTATTACATCATCATCATAATGGAATAATTTACACTAGAAATTATTTTATATACTATATACTCTGTATGACTGTAAATAGAAAATAAATAAATATATGTATATATGTATCATAATAAATTTTAATTGGGTGTAATTAAAAGTATGTTAATATTTAAAACTATTAATAAAATATTTACTAACTTCTGTCAATATCTATTACATACCTATATCTGGAAAAGGTTCAACTATTTCCCATCTCAATTCTGATCGAAAAACCATTGAAACATGTTGAAGAGCTATCTCTAAATTAAGAAATAAAGAATTTATATATAAATAATACAAAAATATATAATTATATGCATTACTTAAACTTATTAAAATAAAACAGCTGTTTATCAATTTAAAACTTGTTTAATTACAAATTGAAAATTTTATATTCTACATCAGTATTTAAGAACTTATGATGTGGTGCCCAGAATGAAATACAAAATTTGTATACGAGAATACAGAGCATATCATCATTATTTTTATTTGTAAATGTTAAAAATAATAATTATTACTTCATGTTTTAAAATAAATAAATTTAAAATTACTTCTTACTAAAATAAAATATTAAGGAAATTGGAGTATGACGAAATTCCATTAACCTGGCATCCAGTATGACAGAAAACCCAATAAGCAACCACATCAAACTTGTTGTTGGGGTTATCAGTGCATTGTTCTTTACCATCATCATCAACAACTTCTGATATAAGCATTGTGAAAACAGGGGAAGACCAAGATGACATGATGATGTGCTAGGTAAAATCAGTTAGCTTGTGCATTTTTCTAAAAACTTTTTCCAAATATATTAGTGAATGGGTTTGATATGAAAAGCAGAAATATTTAGCATACTTGGAATCAATAAGTATCACAGGGTACAATACAACAGCTACAGTATTTTACTTTGATAATTAGAGTAAATTTGTATTTATATGCAATAAAAATGTACAAAGTAAGAATAGTGTGTTCTTGTTTCAAGCCAACTAAAGGCAGAAATAGCATGAAAAAATGAAAATGACATGTTAATTATTATTAAAAAATGCATTTATACAGTTTTACATGTCAATATATGTAAAACTGTATCCAGGAAAACAAAAAACCTTAACTATCTGATAAGGCAGTATCTATCTATCTATATATATAACCCATTCAACAGGTGTCCGTCCTTCCTTCCTTCCGTCCGTCCCGTAACCGTTTGATAACCGACACTAGAGGCGCCCCTATCGTGTGTCATATTTCAAACATTCAAATTAAATTAACAATTTTAATTATTATTTAAATTAACAATATAAATTATTATTATTCATTTGGCCAATAAATTATTATTTGGTCAATATAACAATATAAATAATTCAGTATATTTGTAATAGGAATTTATTATTGTCACGGAATGCCTGTAATGTTCACTAGGGGGCGAATAACGAAAAACCGGATAGATTTGAACCGCTACGATAAAACGATAAGTGAAATAGTTAAGCTAATATTTTAATATAATAATAGAAACCTTTCATGGCACGACCAAAGAAATACGCCACTGTGGGGGAACGTAAAGCTGCCACTGCTGCGAGACAAAGGGAGAGACGTGCGCAGGAAACATTACAGAGAATAGCACAATCAACACGTGGAGGCTTGCAGAATGAAACTCATGAGCTCAGATCTGCAATGTTGCACAGGCAGGCAGAAGCAAAACGACACAGAAGACAAAATGTCACAACAAGGCAAATTGATTCCAAATAATTATACTTTTTTTACCAACAATGTTGTGTATACAGAAGTTTTATGATGGGATAAATGATGGAATACAGAACACAGCTAAAGAATATCTTCAGTCTGTAATACAGAAATACTATTTGCTGTGTATTGATCTGTTAACATTACTTTTTAACATGAACATTTGTATATATTTATACTTGATTTTTTAATCATATTAATTCTATTTATTTGAACAATTTTGAGTAAAGAATAGATTCACTTTCTCATGTACAAATACTGTAGTTGGCTGTTTGTGTATTGATATTTTAAGTTTAGTTTCTAAGATGAAGAATTGTATACATTTATATATAAACTGCATCAAACTTTTAAACATTAAGCGCACACAACTTTCATATATTAAGTGCATTAAACATGCCTCAGGAATTTGTAATGCTGCTGGAACGCCCACTAGGGGGCATCCCGGGCTACTAGTAGTCAATAATTTAATACCGTGTTGTTCTGACAATGCCAAGTTAATGGAATTTCACTGTATTTTTAATAAAATATTAATGTTGTAAAGTTACAATAGTAGTATAAGTTTCAAAAATAGTACAGAAAAAAAATCCAAGCAGCCATATGACAAAAATATTCACAAATTTGACTTCAATTTATACTAATTTGACATTTTCATTCATTTGTTCTAAATTCTGATTTTATATACAATATATTTTTATGACTTAAGTTCACCTATCTGCTTTTATTCATTTTCTTATGCCATTTTCTAATTTACTCTAACATAAATTTACTCTATTTTTTTGTACTTTTCCCAGCTGTTACTTATAATAGAGGGAAAGTATGACAATTGGTCAAAAATTAACCCTCCAAGATTTTTGAATTCAGGGAATCTTAAAATGTTAAGAAATGTAAAAAAATTTTGGGGTTTTTCAATATGTGTGGATGTTGGAGTGTGAGAGTATGAGATTCATTATTAGCATTTGCAATTTTTTAAAAAACTTGTCTCTACCCTCAAAATTAAGTTTTTTGCCATTTCATAATAATATAAAATATAAAAAATTTTTAAATAAAAATCTCATAACATATGGTGCAATACAGTTTTAAAGTTTAACTAGGAAAGTTATGCAACTCTGTTGGATTTTCTTGTGTCTTTGTCAAAATATATGGCCTTTGTTGTGTATTTTATCTATTTAAACATAGTTTTGAGATCCCTAGAACATAGTCATACATCAGTATCTCCAAAGTTTAATACAGATATTTTGGCATACATTTTCAAAAAATTCTAGACAATTTTTTGAATAAATTTAAGCAAAAAATCTAGAATTTTTTATTTCAGCAAAGTTATTCAGAAAATATTTTAACTTTAATATAAAAAATAAAAATAAAATGAAGAATTTAAAATATATTCTAGCATTTTCTTTACCTAAATGCTACTGACAAATGAACCAAATTCATTTTTAATTACATATTATTATTAATTTAATTAAGCAAATATTAAAACTATGCAATTGAAATTAAACCAAAAATGCAAAATTTACTGATGCTTGTAAAATGTTTAATTGCAGTTCAAAAAATTTATGAAAAAATAAAACATTAAGAACTAAATTAAATTCATATATCTATAGAGTTAATAATAAATTAGAAATATCAAACATGAATGACTTCATATTCCAAAAATCAAATTCAGGTTGAATCCATTTTTTTATATACAATATTTCCATAATAAAATACTTCATTATTATAACATTTGCAAATATGTTAACTTATATATTCATGCTACTTAAAATTTATTTGAAACTAAATTTTCATTAACTAAAGTTTTTTTTTTTACTTAAATTTGATTAAGAAATCATTTTTTAGAGTTTTGAATATTTTCTAAATCCTGGAGATACAAATTTTCTAAATGATAACAGACAAAATTTAGATACAAATTTCCTATTTTCTAAAGTCATTAATTAGTGAGAATTTTTAAAATAATTTAATACAAAAATGACAACTTGTTTCACTGTTTCACAATTTTTAACAATTTTATGACTTTTTACATGAAAAAATAAAAAGTACAAAAAACATGTTACACCAAGTCTAAACAGTGAAACAGTCAAAAGCAAATAAATGTCCACTAACTAAAACCTAAAATCAGTGATAATATTTTTCTATTTATACAACATGTAACAAAGACTGTATATAAGCAAATTATATTTTTCCATGCTTTGATATATTATGTCAGTTTAATGTTAAATTTAAAAAATGTTTTAAATATTTTACGTAGAAAATGTCACAATAAATTTACAACTGAAAAAAGAATATGTTTAAAATGCATTTTGTCCAGTAATATAACACCAAGTGGTTTTTCTTGTTAATAAAAATTTGCAAGTCGTGCATAACTATGAAATTATTTTAAAATTTAATTATTCAGTAAATTATATTTATAATAAAAAAATAAAAATCAAGTATAAAACAAATATGCAGAGAAATAATAAATAAAAATTAGCTGAATATATAGATGACATAACATCTGTAAATACTACATTATACAAATAATAAAATGTACATAAAATGACAAAACAAATCTAATATTATTATATGACTTTTAAAAAGCCAAAAACAGAAGCAAAGTTTGGTCTCTGTTCCAATATATTTGAGAAATCTAGAAAATAATTTTTGCAAATTAATGATGATCTTGGATCTAATGAAAAAGAAGTCATTGTAAATAACTAATTACAGTGTTATTATTATTATTATTATTTATTATATACTTTTGATTTATTATTTGTGTAAAATACAGAAAACCTTACAAATTTAAAATGCAAATAAATATTTATTTTAATGACATATATACTTTGAGACACAAGAATAAAAGACATCTAAAAATTCTTGAATTTAGATGCAAATCCAAGAGCACTTAAATCAGTTTTTTATATTCTATATTATATAACCTTATACCTATAACCTTACAAGGATAAACAGCTATTGGAAGAAGGAGTGATCTATAGACTCCAGTGTACATGTGGAATACCGAACTATTATGTTGGTGAAACGAAGAAGAAACTGAAAATAAGAAAATGTCGGAACATCTGGCTGCAGTGAGACTTAAAGTCAATACGTCTCCCGTGTTTTTACATTGTCACGCGAATAATTGCCAAGTTGATATTAATAATGTAAAAATCTTAAATAAGGAAAAAAATATAGTAAAAAGAAAATTCAAAGAACACTTCATGATAGTTATGTAAAATAATGTTATGAATTTGAATAACAGCGTGATACCCGCAGAATGCTGGGAAGAGTATATAATAGTTGTAAATGCAATAGTACTTTTGTTAATGATGTGTCTTCTGCTGTATTACATTCTGATTGTACTGTGCTACACACAAGTCTGGTAGTAGGAAACCCTGCTGAAGAAGCCAAAGAAAGGCGAAATGCATTTGGGGTGAAGTATAGTGTTAAATAAAATATTTTTTTCTCTTAAGTTAACCTGTTTGTCCTTTTGTTTTTATACCAGTTTGTCCTTTTATAAGGACTTGGAATTTTTAAGACTCCAAAACTCAGAAAAGAAAGGAGAATTATTTTTCTGTATACTAGTGAATAGTACAATTGGGTAAAGACAATTTATCTGACTCCATCGATTTTTTAAATATTTTTATTGATATTCTATATTGTTTTATACTCCATTAAAACATATATTATTCTCTATTATTTCCATAATTTAAATTTTGTTTTATTAATCAACAGCATTTTTAAAGTAAATTATATATTATATAAACATTTTTTTAAAAGTCATAATAAAATTTAAAAATTTATTACCTAAGAAGTTCTGTGAATAATTTTCTGGGTCTAAAAATCTTTTAACTGGTAATGATAAAGCTAGCATTGGATGTGATAAAATTGTATTCATATATTGCTGAAATAAATTACAAAAAAAAATGAGAATTTTAAAGCTCTTAAAACAACATTAAAGGACATTTCTAAATTAATAAGAAATATAACACATTAAATATTTATTACAAATATTAATTAATCTATCCAATTATATCATCAAAGTAACGTTACTTGTAATCCTTGCTGCCTTTCAGCTACAAATTCTCTGCCCAGTTTTCCAAATACTCTTTTTGGAGGGAGAGGTAATTCAACTCCCGATATTTGCAGCATATTATTTAGTGCATCAAAGTCACTGTATCGACGAGATATTTGCCATGAATTATCTACAAAAGGACCTCGCTGCACTCGAATAATATAAATCTATAAATAAAAAAATTTAATAACAATTATATTATTTTTTTAAACAAATTTTTGGGAAATAATTGCAATACAACCAGCAGTTTTTCTGATTTCTTCATTAAGGTATTTTCATGTGACATTTGAGTAACTTGATAAAGAGAAAAACATACTTCTTGTAATGTAGGCCACACATTATTGAACCTAAACTATAAGCTAAATTTACCTATTGATTTGGTAAAAGTAAAAAAATTTGTAACAACAAAATGACATTTTAGATACTTAGTTATTCATACATAAATCTATATCAACAGAAATATTACAAGAAAAAAAGGGAATGTTATTGTCATTTCTCCTCATTTAAAATCCAGTTTGTTATGAAAATATATTCAAAAATAAAAGAAAGGATTTAAAACATGTGGCAAGTACTTATATTTGTTTTGCATATTTTAATGAAAACTGTTTATTTTTATCAATAAGTAATTTTTAAATATGATTCAATTCCTCAATTTATATTTAGTAATACAGTATTAAAAGAAAAAACTTCACACACTTCTGAAAAAAATAAGAAAAATCTTAGTAGTGAAATATCTGCATGTTTCAATTTATAATGAACTTAATTCTGTTCAAAATAAATTAAAAACTTTTATACTGTTGTAACATTATATTAATATTTGAAATTTAAAAATGTCATTTGCAATTATAATTTAAAAATAAAAATTGGATAAACTTATAATTAATTTTAATTGTAATTTCTACAATTAAATCTTAATATGTTCTAATGTGTAAAGAATAAGAAACAAATAAATATAATACAATTATATTTACATATTAAATTATACAAGTTTAAGAATTACTAAACTCAGTTATAAGAATTTAGGTATTTATTCTGTTAACTTAGGAATTCTTTTTATAAATTTCACTTACAAATTATATAATGATATGATATTTATAAAGAGAATTTTTAAGGTGTAGTGAGAATATCTGATTTTTACATTAGCAACAATAAATTAATACAAAATATAAACAGGAAGTTTACCTTAATGTCAAAGAAATAAAATGCAAAATTATTGATTGAAATAAATTTTTGTATATTCTGTAGAAGATATAAAAAGTTATAAAAAATCTATTTTATAAGAAATTCTTGTTATAGCACTTCATCATTATATAGTTAATTGTCATCTTTATTTCTTACAAATTTGAAATCATTTCAATAATTTTCTCAAGTTGAAGAGGCACATAATAAATACAAATCTACAAATAATCCATAATGATCTTTACAGAACTGGATATTACTTACAAAGTTTTATTTACATGCATAGTGTCCTTTCTTATTTTCTAGAATGATGCTTACTTCTTCATAAAAGTCCATAATATCTATAACACTAGAATTAACTAGAAAATTGGATCTTAGTTAAGTGATAACATATTCTCTTCATAAGAATCATTATTGAATACAAGCATTTTTGCTATATCATGTGGTTTTATAATCTGGCACCAAGTGGTAAAAATCTCATTCTATTATATTTTTTTACATCATTATATAAATTTTAATATGAAAAAGTTGTTATAATACAGTAGCCCCTCATAATATTACACATGCCAGGAGACAAATCAAATGAGCAATATATGAGACGGCACAATATAACCAATGTATCCACCTGTTTTATTTATTTTCAATCTCCATGCTGACTTATTTTTTGTAGGTTGTATTTTATAAGATGATAGTTTCAAGATCAATGACTAGAATAAGGTAATATTTCTTTGCAACCATTCGCACTCTGCAAAATTCAGTAGCAATCATTTTTTTTTAAATTATTGCTTAAAGTGCTTTTATAGTTGGAAGACAAAAAAAGATGCAATATATCCAAATTAACATTATAACAAGGTGCAATATAACAAAGGGCTACTATATTTCATTATAAATGTAAATATTAAAATATAACATATTTTTCTTAAAATAAAAATTTAACTTTTAAATAAGAACATAGTTCTTTCTTTTTATTTAAAGGAAAAAAAATTATATATAAACACATTTCTTCAATGATGAAATCGTCCATTTTATTAACTAGAACTATCACATCAAACTCTTCTTTGCAGATATTTGAAGGAGCCAGTTTTTATTCTCTTTGTCACAACACTTCAGTCAATACTGTCACAATAAAATATATTTGTGTTTTTTACAAATATGCAAGTTTTACATCATCACTTCATAAGCTATAAGCAAGACAAACAAAAACTCCAGCACCTTCAAAATTATATCTGCAAAGAAAGGCTTGATATAAGTATGCTTCTTATTGCTTGGAACTATTCTGTCATGAAAGAAATATGTTTTTACATTTTTATGATTCTTTTAAACAACATATTTTTATTAATAAAGCTACTATTGCAAAATGATTGACCTGAATATTGAAATTACAATATTAGTGCATAATTACAGCATTATTTCTTAAATATAGTGACAGTCCACTCATCTGGCAAACTTGGAAAGGGTGGTAGTCCAGTTTCTAATTTTCCTGTTTTCTGGATACATGCTAAATATATACGTAAAATTTAAACTAAACAATGGAAAGTTAAGAACAGAAATTGTATTTAACAGATACAAATTAATCACTTCTAAAGCAATGTCTGTTTCATCATTATTAATCCTCTTAAAATGTAGAATACTGTGTTAGTGTAATATTTAGGTTGAAAATTAAAGAAAGGAAAGTAAACAACATAATGGAACTGGGGTCACGTGACGCATACATCACGGAAGCAAAATGCAGCTACATAGCAAACTACAGCTATATTACAGCCTACCAAATTCAAAACTAGTCTGTTTTCTGATAATTCCAGATTTCAGAGAGCAGATAATTGGTTTGTTACTGTATTAAATAAATCTAATATTTTATTTATAGTAATATTTCATAAATGATGTTTTACCATTCCTTATTATAGTTCAGAAATAATTAAGGTCATACTTTTGATTAAATATTTACTACTATATCATTAAACACTTTTATAGATTCAATAAAAACCTAAAATACACTGTTCATAATCAAATTTTTATTCCTCCAAGAGAACTCTTCCAAGTGCTTTAAATAACCAAAATAGAAAGAAGACTAACAAAGTATATTGCTAATAACTAAGTTTGCTAGTCTAAATTTGTGTATGATACAACTTTCATATTTTAGCAACTTTTATTAATATACAAATGCTTTCAATTATATTAAAATACTATGATTAATTTAATTAGTACATTGTTTTTAATGTTAAGTGGTTTAATCATAATTATGATTTTAATAAAGCTAATAACTGTTGCATGTTAAAATTTTCAGAGAATAAAAATATGAACTGATTATTATGTTTGCATGCATTCTGGTTTAGAATTAATTTGGATTATGCAACAGTTTTTTAGCTTTATTAAAATAATGTTTATGATTTTAAAACTTAACATTAAAAACAATGCATTAATTAGGACAACTTATGAACTTGAAACTCATTAGTTGTTTCCAAGCTCACCCACTCTTTTGAGTACAGTTCTTTACCAGTTGAAAAACAATAGTGAAGAAGAGGGAAAGAAGTTCTAATGAGGTTTTAGTGAAGTGAAAATTGCAGAATTTACTACAGAAAGACTGATAGAAAAAAAATATTAATCAGACAAAGTGTGTACCATGACTATTGACCTGCCAAAGAACTGTGAAGAACATTTTATGACTCCTTTTATACTCAAAATTCATTTTAAAAAACACATAATATGCACATTAGAAGAATATCAGCACCAAATTTCACTCTAGCAATTTAATTTTGAAGTAAAATTTTTTTCCTGAAAATACAAATAGTATGTAAACCAAATTTGATTGAGATTTGCCCAGTTGTTCTTTATCCAGAATTCTAAATGCCTACTCTTTAATTATGATCACCCTGTATATTTCATTTTTATATTCCTAAATTTAAATTGTATTTCTATAAGTTAAAATATTTTTATATAGCAGATTTTTTTCTTCATAAAACAAATTTATTAGATGCATTATTATTAAAATTATCAAACCTATTTTAAAAAGGTCAGCTACTAACTCTGATAAACATTTTTCAAGCTGCTTTGCTTCCTCGTCAGATCACTGATTCAATTTTAACCATTCTTTCATGTCATTAAATGATTTATTTGTATGATAAAAAATTTATAATACTTTACTACATAAAGCTTTTAAAAATTTTATGTTATTTGCTAAGATATGCATTCTTATTAGAAAATAATGCTTAAAATCAAGTTTGATTTTTATTACTGATATGAACATAAGATAGCAATGAAACATGTCAAACATACTAAATATTTCTAGACATTGGTTAAGGTTGTAAGTCTATATATATTTTTTGTTTTGACTTAATTTACATAAATTATCAATTGTAAAACAGTTAGAACACATCTTTCTTACTAAAAGTGAAAAAAAAAAAAAAAAATTGAAAAGAAGCAAATTCTACATCAAGGATAAGTCTGAAATGCATATTTTGTAGCAATTTGTAAATAGGGAGTGTTCTAGCTGGTTTGCAATTGAAAATTTATGTAAATTAAGTCAAAACAAATAAAAATGTCTAAGTCAGTTTTCCAATCTAATTTATTTTACCACAATCAAACTAACTCAAGTAACGTTGATTAGAAAGACAAACTACTACTTTTTTAAGTCTCAAAAAACAAATTATTCTTTGAATTCTTATTTAGAATTCACCAATATTTATAAAACAAAGAATTTTTAAATAAATGGTCTTATATAATATAGCATAATTATATTAAAGAGTTTATATATTCTTTAGCCAGAATAATTCAAGAAAGCCTTGAATCTAACAAATCATATTATAAAATCACAGAATTTACTTCATATTATTTTATCAGTAAATAAATTATTTTAAATTATGTATGTGATATAGATTAAATATATCTGTTTTCACAGATATTTTCTTATCTAATTCATAACAGATCTACATTTATACTTCTAATACTGGTAAAATTAAACAACAGGTAAACGATTTAATGCCTTTTTGTGAAATATTAGCCCACTGTGGTATAGCAATATTCTTTTGAAGATTAAAGAAAACATTAAGAAAAACTCAAATATTTTCTCATCACTTTGAGGTGCTTCTTAAAGACACAATTATAATTACTAAAAATACATAGATCAGATCAGTAATCATCGCGGACGATGTGATTCTTTATTTTATTTGGTAAACTTGCTTCGATATCTTATATAAAATGTTAGGAGAGTAAGCTTATAGGAATGAATAGATCTAATTGGATGATAAATATCAGAAAAACATATATATTAATCTGCAAACAAAAATCTAAAGCAGATATTGTAAAAAAGTGCTAAAATCATTTTGCTTATGAAGACAACTGCATTATTTTTTTGTTTTTTTAAGTCTTTGTCCTAAGAAACACTTATTATTATGCCCATAATGGATGCGTTCAGCAGACAACAGTTCTGGAGCTGTTGAGTATTTTTCTGCAGAACGCCCTCTACAGTAGCGCTCTTTCAGGACACGTTTGGTGTTTTGATGTCACATTTGGTAGTACCTTTCATTTATGCTACCTATTGCTATCCAAAACTGACTAATGAGGGTTTTTGTTCCAACGCAACATCCCTCGTCATTCAGCAAATCTAGGTTGCTACATAACAGCTACCGATTTGCTCAGTTACTGTTGAATCTGCCAAGTGCAGCCAATGACTTCAACTTGGCATACAATGGCAAAATCAGGTGACAAGAAATAGGACTCAACACAATAGAGCCAAGTCACTTGCAAAAAGCATCCAAGCTGAACTTGGATCTGGATTCCTCAGAGGCAGGCACATGCTCAGCTGCTTCAACTATTTTGTTGCCATTTCATTTTATTAACTTTCAAATGATGATGATAATTTTTTATTAATTTAATACAAAAATTTCAATCAAAAGGCATAATATAGTACAATGATCACTCATTTCATTATTATTATTTTTTTAATTATATATTTGTATTTTCTTTTAATTATTTATTAATTAAAGAATGATCAAAATCCAAATGAATTGATATTAATTTTAATTAAGGTACAGAAATCTTTCTTACAGATTAGAGTTAAATTTAATTAAAATACACTTTAATGAAATGTTAAAATAATAGACTTTATCCATTTAATACTTAATTAATCATTTTAATAAACCACAATTAAGTAAAAGGCATTTTCTTGTTATGATTACATTATAATTTAATTACACGAAATACATTAATTATTTCTTATCAAAACTTTAGGAAATAACGCACAAATCGCTTACCGTAAAGTCTTGTACATTTTCAGCTGCTTCGATAGTGCATGTTAAACATTGCGTGTCATCTAAATTCAGTTTACTCTCCTTCTTCTTCTCAAACACCGCCATCTTGAAGGCGTCAATCACTGAAATGCTACGCCCCCTTTGCTACAGAATAGCAAAAGTAAAAAATAAATAAACAAATAAATAAATTTTTAAATTTTATTTCTGCAATTAAAAAGTAATAAAAAAATTAATTGAAAATTATAAAAATTAAAATAATTAATTGAATGTTACTGTATATAAATTTAAAATAATATTACGCATTTTAGTTTAATTTTAAATATAATTTGTGAAAATTTATTTTCGTAAATACTATATTATTTAACAAATTTTTTATAACTTTTTATTATTTTATAATTTAAAGATTTTACAAATAAAAAAATTCTGTAGACTAATTTAAAGTATTTACTAAAATATTCAGAAATTTTTAAAATAATTTATTTTTGAAACAATAAACATTAAATAATCAAATAATGATAATATCTTATTTTATTTTATTTTTAAATTAAAATATTTATAATTGGTAGAGGCTTTCTGTTTTATGAAACTTTAACTTATTTTTTAATTTAAAAAATGGGGGAAAAGATCTAACAGGATAACATAAATAATTAAAATCGACTGATAAAATATTTTATACTATTTTTATGTAATAAAAATAATTTAAAATATTTTATCAGTCATAAAATCTTCATTATCTTAATAAATCTTAAAAATTCATTATCTTAATAATTAAAAAGTTGTCAATGAAATTTATTTTATTATATTGACTGTGTTATATTTTATTATATTACAAGTTAATAATTTTATTAATCAAATTGAATAATTAAATCTCTTAACAACAGATGGCTCTGAACTAAAAATACAGTAAACATAAGAACAAGATTGTAATACGAGATATACAATACTGTACATTGTAATTACAGCGTCTTTGGATCTAAATAAATTTAATCATTCATTTATAAGAAGAGAAATGTATTAAAATTCGGGAAATGTTAATAATGAATTAATCATTGTTAATATATTTCGCAAAAGATTTTGTCAAAAAATTTTCTGAATAAAATGTAATTGCGAATGAAATATTATTTATGTTGTCTTTGAAACCGTGTTAGATAAATTTGCTAGACGTCGAACTCAAAATTGAGTTTTTAATAAACACTTGGCTCTATTTCCATCTCCTTTTAGTTGATACGTGGCATTTGTACGTTTCGGACATAAAACCCCTCAATATTATTTATTAAAGAAATAATTTTTATTACTAAATGTTGTAAAAATGATTATTAAACTTCAAATTTATTGATATATTTATATTCTATTTTTTATATAAAAGTTTTAATTTTGAATTATATTTACTCGTAGTGCCATCTTGCGATGTTTTTTACAATTAATTATCATTTCTATTGTATTTATTTTTTTAATTTTATACTAATTTTACTGATAAAACTAAATAATAAAAATTAATATTTACAATATCTAAGACAATGTTTGTTTATAATATCAATATTCACACATTTCTTACGTACTAGAATAATTGATAAGAATAAATTAGACCGAACCTAAAATTATTGTACATACTTTGTCTTAATTGTAGTACATACAATATGACAATAAAAAAATTCAGAAAAATAAGAGTAATATCAATCGAAACTATAAAAATTGAATTAAAAAGTGGCATTCGACGGAAAAATCAAGAAACAAAGAATAACAGAGAATGCAATCTGTTGCAAATAGAAAAATATGAAAGAATGTATAATAAAATATTGCAAGAAATTGTGTTGAAGACACTACAGAGATTTTGACAAAAAATTGCATCTCAGACAAGACCTATAGTATTAGTGCCATGTACAACTTTTTGCGGCTTTTAGTGAGATCTTAATATAGAGGAGAAGGTGGTATTATGGAACCCCAATTACATTTTAGTGAATTGTAAACAAGGTATTATAACTACACCCACATTTTTCGTGCGAAAAGTACTGGTAACTAGTAAACTAAGTGTTCCTAATTGGATTTTTCGCTAGTGTAATTATAAGTATGGTTTTTGAAGGGTTTTGTACAAAAAGTCCGAAAGTAGGCCTAGAGAAAATCGGGTAGTAATGTAGAACCTTACTGTATATTTTCAAAAAATGCTTTAATGTAGCCAATAGGAAAGGACAAAAAATGTTAAATAATTACAAAATTATTTACTCCAATGTATTTTATCGCAAAAATGCTTTTTAATAGAAAAATATGACCTCCATCAACAATATATATTCCAGCAGCTCTTTTTCGATATTTTCAGGAAGAATTGACTTTCTACCTAGTGTCTTTTTCCCGAATTGCTCCGGACGAATGTCTGATTGCAAAGAGAGAGTTCGGAAGAGTTGAGTTCCATATTACTGTAAAAGCACCAAAGGGCGATGCGTATTTCACGCATCGCCATCTCGAATTAACTTATGTCTGTAAAGACCAAAATTTAAAAAACGTGAACATCACACAGATTAATATGTACTCCTAAGTCTCTGGAACGGAATACATGCACCAGTGAACCTACAACTACACGATTTATATTTTAAAAATAATTATATTCACTTAGCATTCAAAACTTGTGAATTTTGAAGAAACAAAACAAATCTGCTAATTAAATACGGACAACTGTTTAACTGAAGTAAAACGGGTTTTCCCCTTGCTATGGATGTCTGCCTAGTTAAGTTCAGCCACATTCTGCTACAGTTCGCCTTTATTATCAGTTCGAAATGGGGTGGTTCCATATTACCCGCAGTGTTCCATAATACCACCTTCCTCTACAGCATTATAAATTAATCTTCTGTTATAAATTTTAAGTTATAAATATGAAAGGACTCCATCAGTTTTTCAATATACTGTAGATCTGGGCTGTGCCGACAGATAAGGCGGAGGAGCAACTGCCACAGGCATCAAATTGGAAGGAATACTAAAAAGGAGTCATAACATTCGGAGAAATTTAAGTAGTTTTGGGTAAATTTTATTAAATAAACGTACTTCTGTAGCAATTTTTATTTTTTACTTTTTCGGCTCTGTTATATATAGGGGAAGGGAGTGCAAGATGGAAACTACTTACCCACCCCGAACCGCGCGACGAAGCACCCAAATCTCCATGCACACAGAGACACTTGGATATCTTGTATTTATGAACGGCGACTCAGATCGGTTGGTGCCACGAAGTGACGTGTGCAAGTATTTCTTATTTCGCAGCAGATTATTATGCAATCATTGGACTTTTGCAGTGTTATTATTTATACCTACAAGGTAAGTATTACTATTTTGTTTTTATACAAAGTACCTATTAGGGACAGATTGCATGAATTGATATTTAAAGAGGGAAAAAATTCAAGGATTTTTAAAGCGTTGATATTATTATTGGCAATGGAAATTTGGGCAAGATGGAAAATTGCATTTTAGGGCAAGATGGAATAGTTTCCATGTAGCAAGCACAATTATTTTGATTTCTGTTATCAATTTATCTAACTAATTGAAGATGTAATTGTTTCTAGATGGTGAACAAGTATATAAGAAAGAGCAACAGAGGTTGTTGGACTGAAAAAACTGCAAATGGCGATGGATGAAGGTTTTGTGTATTACGTGGAGAACCATGTGTGGAACCGCCCACAGATGACTGGGTACAGTATCCAGTGTGTTGTGGTTGGGCACAAGAACTATGTACAGACACAAAAGATGGATGTTTTTCGTGTGTCGATTGTAAAATGTAGGGATATCCTAGGTATGAAGGCAAGATGGAATTTTTGACGTTTTTACTTCATGATTCCTAATAGGTTTTATGCTTAATATTAATTATTTTTAATTACACAGTTTTTTAACCATCTAAGATCTCTGTCGAGACTGATTAAAATAAAAGCTTTATATTATGTTGTTTTATGTTTTTTTACATCATAAAGTTAAACCTTCCATCTTGCCCCCTTCCCCTAACAGAGGGAAAATATGCCGATCGGTCAAAAAATGACCCCCCCTCGAATTTTTACATTTTTGGACTCGGGGCTTGAAATGACAGGAAAAGAAAAAAAGAAAAGAAAAAATAATAAATAAATAAATAAAATAAAATAACCATCGGAGTTGTTTATGTATGGATGTTAGTGAGTTTGTATGGAGAGCATGATTTTGTTCACCCTGTTTGAAGCTTAATAACTCCAGTGTCTTTTGTCGAAAATTTCTGAAATTTTGCAGAGATGTTTGTGTATCAGTGGGATTGATGCTATTAAATTTTGGTTGAAAGTCTAGAGGGTAAGGAGATAAAGAGGGTTGTATATCGAATCTCGAGTAAGGATGGACAGAATAACGATTTTACTCGTTATTACCATTTAAATATTTTATTGAAATTAAAATTATGCTACTCGTTGCTGGAATTTTATTAAAAACTTTAATAAAAGAAACATATTAGATAAATATTTATCTTTAACTTAAATTTGTTTATTTTAAAAAAATATTATATAGATCAGGCGGATTATCTCTAAATTTGCACGCCAAAATCGTCAAATCTATTAAGCAAAATGCTCTCACATGGCCAGAGAGAAATGGAATGAGCCCTTCAGCGTTTGAAATTTAACCCTAGCGGACACCGAGTGAACTACTCGCGCCATATTGTGGCATTCAAAACAATCGTGATAGCTTGACTGATTGCGAATACACTACTATTTTTACATTTTCACAGCTGTGCAGCTCCAAAGCATAGGCAGGATTGAGACCTTCACTTTGGGGCCTTCAGATACGAACACGGCCGTCGTCAGTGCCCAAACTGAATCTGGACTCGTCGCTGTAGACGACCCGGTTCCATTCCATTGTGGTCTAATTCCGTCGGGAGCGACATCACTCCAAATGGAGGCGACAGTGGGTGATATCAATGGCAGCATACGTAATGGCATATGTGATACGAAATGTTCCTCACACAGACGCCTCCACATGACATGGTACGGGGACAGAAACAGTGGCCTTTAATAATGGCGCCACCTGTTTCCGGATGACGGAAAATAATACGGTTGGCTGTGTTCGTGCTTATCGTAGGACCAGTGGTCCTCTCAGGCTAGTAGTCTGCCGAGGGCGTCCTGAGCCTGGGCGCC